GTCTCCCGCAGATGACTTACCATAGTGCCTGCCAACAGCAGCATAATCCTCCCAGTGACAGAGTAGGATAGAAACGTGCACACATTCCTTCAGTTAACTGTGATCATCATCTGAACCAGTACTTACAACTGTCTACATTTCCACTCTAGTCTCCTAAATGCCACAAACCAGTGTCACCTTAATTGAGACCAAGGATATTTTTCTCAGTTGGGTTTTGGTCAGACTCCCTAGGTTTAACTTACTATTCTGTGTGTCACAAACCAGAACGAAATCTGTATTCATTTGAGATACTAGTTGAAGTTCTCAGCACAATTACTAAGAATTCTTGATCTTTCAAAACTGGATTGCAAACCCTTTTAAGAACACTTTATGATGAACAAAATAAAATGAGTGTTTTATTCTAACAGTACCTTTCTTAAGGGCTCATTTACTTTTAGGAACACAGAAGCTATAAAAGCCATTCACCAAAAGATGGGGGAAAAGCAATCTGAGAAATGTCATATCAAAGTCTTGAATATCTCAACACAGTAATCTATTTGGTTTTAGTTTCACGATGCAATTTGAGGCTGGCCGCAAACTCGACATCCACCTGTCTCTGAGGCCAGGTGAATTCTAGCATTAGACACATACCACATCAGATCAGCACTATTTTCTTTCCCCATAGAGGATGTTGGTCTTTTACCAGGATATGACAGGCAACAGAAAAAATACGTTCAGAGCTCACCAGGTAAAGGTGTCTGTTACCCATTCTGACAACCTGAGTTTGGTTCCTGGTACTCAATACAGTGACAAAACTGACCTGAGGGTTGTCGTCTTACAGCGACACACCTGTTGCAGTGATGTACACACACATACACACACTGAAATAATAGATAACTAGACAAGAATGTGAAGTCAAAGGCAGCCGGTTCTGTCTTAGCTTTACCATCTTTCCAGTTGATGTTGGACTGCCTTTACTCAGCAAATCCTACTAGCATTAGGAATTCAGAAAGGTGAATGGACTTTACAAGGAACTCACTGTTTAAGGGCTGTCCTTAGGCACAAATGGCTTCAAACAAAACAAAAATCAAAATCCAGTATGACAGGGTAGATGATGTCTTATGAGCGCTAAATGAAAGCCCATGAAAAGTCAGTTGGGTATCCACATGCAGTAGCTTCAGGCACATGTCAGACAATTCATAGTCAGCTCTCCAAATGCATCCATCTTGTATATACATGGACCCAATCCACTACAGTTACAATGCCAGAGGAAGGGCTGGAGCTGCACTTTGAGAACAGACTTCTATTCCCTAAGCACCACGCTGTAACACCACCTATTTACATAGCATTTTATTAGACATTATATTCAAGATGATTTAAGATATATGCAACTATAAATATCAGCCTTACGCAACTACTATGCCATTTTATGAAACTCTGGCATTTGTGGACTTTTGTGCTGGAGGAGGATTCTGAAAGCAATGTCCCACACATAAGGCAACTCTGTATTTAAAAGTCAAAGGCTGGAGATGGAAAGACAGCTCAGAGATCAGGAGCAATACTGCTTTACCAGAAGTCCTGAGTTCATCAGGTGGTTCACAAATGCTTTGTAGCCATCATCTCCAGAAGATCCAAGAACCTCTCTGGCTCTCACACAAATATGCATATAACCACATAAAGACATGTACACACGATTAAAAATATTTTTCTTAAACTTCAGAAGCTTGGGAAATTATCTTCCAATTATTGCCTCATGATCCACTCCCTGGGGTCAGGAGATCTTAATGCTGACACCTGCAAAGACAAATGAGTTCTAGAGGAAAAGTAGCTATACAATCTTTCATACTATCTGCTGATGTGCATAATGTGCAAAGAAAAACAAACAAACCAAAAATAACAAAACAAAAAAAAAAAAAAAAAAAAGAAAAAAAAAAAAAAAAAAAAAAGAAACTTTCCTATCCTGGAGATATGGATGGTAGGCAGCTAGAACTCTTGCTGTTTGCTGTTTTCCTTTGTCTCAATTCTCTGCAAAGAACTTATACTACTGACAAACAAAAACACTATTCAATAAGGCAGGCAATGAAAAATGGGCAAACATTCTGATCCAGCTTTATTTGCTGCTTTTGTAAATTATGATGTGGCCCCTAACAAAAGGAAGACAAACCAGTCATTTACCAAGAGCATCAATCTCTAAAAAAGTGGAGCAATCCTTTAAATCTTTCCAACACATTTCACCACAACACATGAGCTGCTGGAGGAAAGATGTTGAGTCAGGTTCAACAATCAATCACCCTCCAAATGGTAACTCCAAACTGCCACACTACCTGGACCCAGAGCTACTAAAATCAGTGTCAGCCTCAAGATAAATGGGCACTAATTTTTTATTTTTTAAGATGAAAAGAGATGGGAAATAAATTATGATTTTCTTTTGAAGTGGAGATAAACTTGCAGGGAAAAAAATGTTCATTTAAAAAGTATTGTTTTTTTTCTTTTAAATAACCAAGCAAAGGCGACTGCAAAGCCATACCTGAGAATTTAAGAAATATTTTATGAAAACCAACTTTACTTAAAAACACAAATGCAACTAAACGATTATCTTTATTGGCAAAGACAAAGGTGATTGTTTAGGACTGAAGACATATTAAAGTCAAAATAGACTCCTATACCTCCATTTAACATGACTTTAAAATTCAGCATCTTTCCTTCAAATTCATGAAGACTAATGGAAACTTATTTCACATAAAAAGTTATGACCAACTGGATCACATTAACTATCCCTTACCTATGCTATGTTTGTGTTATAGTATTAGAGAACAAACAAAATAAAAGGCCATTCAATTAAATTCACCTGATCTATCTCATTTGGCCCATTAAATTATCCAATGATACCTAGTGTTTTTAATCTGGGAGCAGAAAAGGAAATAAAATCTAAAGAACACTCTGCTGGTGGTCAGAAAGCTAGCTAGTGAAGGCAGTCCGCATGAGTAGAGAACTCTGTGAAGCAGCTACACTGCCTGGAGTTACCGCAGCAAGATGTATATTTATAAGTGGAAAAGGAAAGAAAAAAGGAAAGGAAAACACTATTCTCTAAGTGGAGACATCTGAGGTAACGGTCAGCTGGCTAGCATCTGTAACCCAGGATGAATTCTTGGTCCTACAGAGCTCTGCATCAGCAAGACACTGCTAAGAAGCCAGGATCTTCATAAGAATGTGACACTGAAGAGAGACGGCTCTACAACCACAGAGCCACAGAGCCACGGGCAGAAAGAAAACTACACACCTTCAAATATATGTACAAAGTAACTCCGAATATCAACATGAAAAACTTTTAAGTCTATTTTGAAGGTGCTAGTCACCTGAGATAAAGTAAAAAATTTTGTAATTTCATGAAACACCAAAAATGAATACTACAATTCCTCACGTGAAAGTGTCAAATGTACAGAGATATAAATTATGAGAACTAGATAAATAATTCCTTTTACCATCTTCATTACTTGTAAGACTTCACTGATCACAATAAGGGAGTCTCTGATACTCTAGGAGGTAAGCAAAAGATGACAACTCTGCATCACTTCTTTATTAACAAATGATACCACAGAAGCCAGGTTACTTTTTCTGATTACAGAGGTAACAGAAACTGCATCCCGTACTTACAGTAGCAACATAAAATCCTACATGAAGAAATTTTCTAACTGGACTAGCTAAGAAGGTAAAGCCAGTGCCTACTGTGACCACAGGGGCTGGCTTTGTTTTACATGTATATCACTGACGATACAAAAGCCCTATCAAAAGGGAAGATCATAGACTATGGGGTGCTGGAGGCAAAGAAGGGACAATACGGACAACAAGGCATTTAGTACAAAAAGCACACAAAGGCCATGAAAACATTGAGAGGCTAAAACACCAATCAGGGACAAGGCAGCTCTTCAGAGCTGTGCCGATTGGAAAACAGCATGCCCTGTCCCGAGTGGAGGCAGAGTCCTCATGCTGGAACTTACTTGAGAAAATAAGAATAGTCAAAAAAAAAAAAAAAAACAAAAACAAAAACAAAAACAACTTGGGTTTGAGTTGGACAAAGCATAGGCAGAGAAAGCTAGGCATCAAGAAGTACTAACGAACCCAAAGGAAGCACAGAAAACCAGGGCTGCCAAACGCTTCCAGAAGTGAAACCCAGTTCTCTGAGTGACCCACGCACAATGAAGGAGGCACAACAGCTTTCGAAGTACACCCAGGAGAGCCCGTGAGAGCCACGTGAGAGGTGCGTTTTGAAGGCAGCAATAAGTGGGTCTTTGCGTCCCTTTTCCTCACTTCAGTTCAAACATCCCTAATTTGTATGTCTGTGTTTTCACAAAACACTTCTATAAAAAATTCGTGAAAATGAGATCTGGTATCACCCTCCATCATTTACTACTGACTTTCTTTAAACTTGAAAAGCCACTGCCGAAACTGAAATTACATTGATAAGATTTTATGATTCAGAGACCTTAAATATAATTTCTGTATCACATTAAAATGTGAAAACTTTCAACCAACAAAGCATACTGTATTATCCTCTAAAAACAAATTAAGTTCTCAGGGAGAATTCAGTTATTTCCACCCCTCTTAAATATGTTCTGGTGACTTCCAACTATTAAATATTTCTGAACATTGTGAAGAAAATTCTACTAGATATTCTAGCCACATCTTAACTCAAGCACATTTCACTCAAACACTGTAGACTTTCTTTCGGGGGGGGGGGGGGGGGGGGGGGAGACAGGGGACGGGGACAGGTCTCAAGATTATAGAAAATTCTAGAATAAGAATGTATAGTAACAAAAAGTAACACATTATATCAGGACAAAATCTGCCCAGTGCTCTTAAACATAATCACTATAAAGAACAACCAAACCCTAGCACTTTACTCTGCATGTATCAGCAAATAACTTCAAAGTGTAAACAAGAGAAAAACACACATCACGAAGACCATTTTCTTTGATGGGATCATGAAGAATGAAACTGAAAGAAGGGAAGTGGAACCCAAGTTCTGGTCAGTTATTGAAATTTCATTACATCAACAAAATATAACAAATCTCTATAGAAAGTATTCATTCAGCAAACATGACTTCTTCCCATCTATTTTTCCTTCATTTTGGATTAAACAGAAGTTGCTGTTATTCTAGATCAGTAATTACATTATTTTAATTAGAAAAGTTTAAGTATTTACATAATTTTATTGCTGTTTATTGTAACAAAAAAAATTGTTTGTAGAATCCATCCAGTAATGTAGAAACTGAAATCCACTGATCAAGAAGACACCATTGTAGATGAAATATATCTGATGCTCAGTGTACAGCGTAAGAAAAGTCCTTGCTTGTCATCTGGTTCTTGCTGAAGTTATCTGGGTTCACTTCTCAGCAAAGAATCCATCTGACAATTTAATAAATATTAAATTGCAAAAATTAGCTTCCATGGACTAGATATCCAAGAAGGAGTAGTTCTGATGAATGATTCCCAGAATCAAATATGTCCGCCTTTAGTCCAGTGAGATGATGTCAGGAATGTTACTTCCACTGCTGGTTATGACCCCTGTCTCACTCCTGCTGCTGGATGAACTAACATGAGTACTGCTTTCATGGGGGCTGGTGGTGGTGACGGACGTGCTGCTTGCTGTTAAGGGTGAGGTGAGACTATCCAAAAACATAGGAGGACAGTACTGCTTGAAACAAACAATGATGCTGATGAGGAAGAGGCTACATTGGTTTTAAATAAATAGACTAGAAATTGTTAGATAGATACAACTGACAGTCACAAAGTTAAATCCTCTTGGGATTTTAAAAATACCAAATTTCTTATTTAGGTGGAAGATGGCATGGACTCAGCTATTTTACATCCCTTACTTAATGCCATACATTCTTTATTGTCTTCAATGTGTGGAACTTGTCTGTTGACCATATACACAAGGAAAACACAATGTCAACAATAACTGAAATCATTTAATGTTAAATACTGATCCCCCCAATTATGACTTACACTAACTTCAAAGACAACTTAATAATTGAAACAAAGTTCAATTTTTTCTCAAAACTTAGAATCAAACAGGCCCTTTGTGAGTAATATTAAGAGCTGAATGATGGCACTGGATTCCTCTGTAAACAAAGAGAGCCAGTAATACTTGTGTAATGAGAACCTTAACATTCATCTGACTTGGAGGCTATATGGCAGCTCATTACCATGGGATGTTCAGAGAATAATACCATTCACAAATTCAAAATCCTTATGACGCTTAACATCCCTCTGCAAATGTTCTTATTTCGAGTACCTTTCCATCTGGATGGCTGATTCACACACAAATACAAACCTGAGCACAGTCATCTAAAATGATGAGAACTGAGATAAAGAGCTGCAGGATGTTTCACATAAGGCACGAATGCACATGTAATGTCTAGTGCTGCTAAATTTGTCTTCAATTAGACTACAGGAAAAATTATCAACAAGGACATGTAATATTATCTATCCTACCAATCATTTAGATTTTCTTAGAGACAATGAATAATGAAGTTATTCAAAGCTAAGCTATTCAAATTAATTGTTTTCAAGGCGCATTAAAAGAAAAACGGGGACAGCTAGGAGAACAGTGAAACCGAGGCTGCATTATTTGTGCGGTTTCATTATTTGTGTGTGTGTGTGTGTTTCGGGGCGGGATCTTACTATGTAACTCTGGCTTTCCTGGGATGCACTAGGTAAACCAGGCTGGCCTTGGAACTCAGAGATCTGCCTCTCAAGTGATGGATTAAAGGTGTGATCCACTATGCCAGACTGAAGCTGTCTTCTGACAAAGAGTTACTGGATTTTTTGTTTTGTTTTGGGTGGTTAACTCTTAGTTTGTCTGCAAATTAATGCACACACGAAGAATTTAACAGACATTCATAAGAAGCTCTGACAGTGAAATTGTCAAGTATCAAAAATTCTCTAAAATCAAGTCAATTATATTAAAACTGAGGAAGATATAAAGAAAAGCCTAGACGATTCCATTTTAATCTGCCAGCATTCTAGCTTGTTTTTACCTACAGCACTAAGCTGTAAAAATGCTAAATGCTGCCACCCTGCTGCCAATGGACTGTGTCTTGAATATTTAGGGATTCTATAATCAGCAGAAGGCACCACGCTCATCCTCCTACCAAGTTATCAAATAAATCAGCCTCCCACCACGCATGTAAATAAAACCATGAAATAAAAACCATGGGTTCCAAGATTATTTTTTTAAAGCACTGTTCACATAAAAATACGTAATAAAAGTATGTAATTCTCTTAAGCCTGAAGAACTTATATCCTAGAAAACTATGTAACTTTCCTTGTAATGTCTTACTCATATAAAGTCAAGGCAGGGTGAGAAGAACATCCTCAGTCCGCATATATCTTGTGCTCAAATTTCCTGTGCTGTTTGTGCAACCAGATGGACACACTGAGATGGGAAGCTCACACTGGACCTGCAGTTGGGAGGCTCACAGTGGACCTGCAGTTGGGAGGCTCACACTGGACCTGCAGTTGGGAGGCTCACAGTGGACCTGCAGTTGGTCCATCCTGAATTGGTGAAACAGGTCCACTTCTTCCAGCTCTCCCTAGGTAACACATCTGGGCCTCAAGACTTCCTGTTGCTGTTCCACCTCGCCTCTCTCGCTTCCTGTGCTTTGCCTCTGCTGTTAAAGACTGTCAGCAGAATCCATGCTCAACACGCAGTCTTAAGGCTGGAATTCTGGAATACTCCTAGAATCTCTTTTCTTTGATTGGAAACACAGCAATACTGCAACTTTCAACTGAAGCCTTTTCAAAGTCTGACTCTGTCTGATCCAAACTCAGTGATCCAAATCTGATGAACTTGTTGATGGCTTTATGTAAATGGTTTTAATATGTAAAATCTTAACCTCTATGCATTAGTACTGCATTCACCCATTCTAATCACTCAAACACTTGTAAGAAATACCGTTTACATTCAATAAAGTTTAAGTAATAAGATAAAAAAAATTGAAAACCAGTAACTTTATTCCTTCAAAAAAAATGTATAATATTTATATAGTACTCCTTTTTCTATCCACATGAGAATCAACTGTCCTGATTTTATGCAACTGGTCCTTTTAGTTAGTATGACATAATCAACCACCAAATACAAATTAGTTGCTTAAATTCAGGATACATACCTGGGGATCAACTGGAATAAGGGAAAGAAAATCCAAACCTAAAACAAAAATGCTTTGTTAATAGTTGTCTCATATTTTGGAGACAAGAACTATTTCCCAAGATCACTCAGCATTTATAAGCCAGGGAACATCTGTGGCAAATGCTCACCTCTCTGCTATAATCATAACTGGTGATACTTAATGCATGTAAAACCAAAGGTGAATACGTTCGCTGGCCAAACAACTGGAAAAACTAGCTCCCAGCAACTCAAAAGCAGCAGTCCAGAATTACCAGAGTTGGACCAGTTAATTCAAATCTTTCTCCTTTTGTCTTTTAGAAGAGCAAGAAGCAATAAAAATCATGGTACTTATCTTTGGACCATTAAAAAACAACATACTTAAGTTCTTAAGATACTTCACATTTATTTTTCAGAAATACGCCACATTAGTTTAATCTAATAATACCAATTCTTTAACAGATATTTCATCAGCAGGTAGCTGCTGCCCACCCCCAAGAGTTTTACAGAGTATAATACTCTGCATAATGCAAGCCCTGGGAATTGCTACTCACTACAAAGGTAGTCAACAGTCAAAAGGTTCTCAGCTAATGCAATGCCCTAAACCAAGGAACTGGAACTCTACAACTATATTCTGGAAATAGGAATGTGAAAGAGATTTTCCTTAAATAAGTACTCAAATAACAATAAGGTATAGGAAAAAAAAATCATGTCTGAAAAGTTTAGCAATAATCTTCACAGTCCACTTCTGAAGACTTGCCTGTATGATCAAATGCTTTCAAGTTATTTTAAAACATTAAAAAAAAAAAAATTAAAAAAACCCACATACTGAGCATGTGCCATTAAGTTAGGGCAATGTTGCCCTAACTTTGGAGGCAGAGATTGGCGGATCTCTGTGAGTTCCAGACCAGCCAGGGCTAAACAGTGAGATCCTATTTTCAAAAGACAAAAAACATACAAACAAACAAAAAGCCAATGTCTATTCAATCCCATAAATATTTATATGCTGGCATTTAATAAACCAACCACATGGAGTGAAATTCTAATATAATACTATACCATTATTAAAATAGAGATTAGTAAGAAAGATAATGGACATATTTAATAAAAACTATGAATAATTTTAACTAAAAAAATTTAAAGCATCATTATTCCCTTATTTACAAGTGAGTGTATTTTAAACACTTATCATAATACAAGTCGTAACCCCAGCTATTTAGAAAGAATTACTGAAACAACTTCTAAAGCAATTTTTAAACTTGTTAGTATAACCTGTTATTAGCTACATGATATAGCAGTTTAAATTGATGAACAAAGTAAATCACAATCCACTGTTGCAATATTTACCCATTAAAATGATAACCAGAGGTGATGTATTTAAGGAGAACACTTTAAATTATTTAATAAATTTCTCTTTTAAAAAGCAACTCAAACCTGTCTAGCCTTTTTATGTCTTCTAAGAGTTTATATATGAACAAGTCATGTTTTTATTCACTGTTGTTTTGCTCCAAGTGGTGTAACATTCTGTTCAATTTTACAACAGTTCCTACTTTATTTATTTATTGCGTTTTGTGTGCAGGAATCCATAGTGGTCAGAAGGGGGGGCTCTGGATACCCTAGAGCTGCAGTTAAAGGCGCTGGAGAGCTGCCACCTAGGTACTATAAAATGAACTCAGGTCCTCTGTAGGACAGTAGGTGCTCTTGCCAGAAAAGGTCTTACTCTGCAGCACAGGCTGACACATGCACTCATAGACCTCCTGCTTCTTGAGGACAGGGATGACAGGCAGCAGTCACCACGTCTGGCTCACTATTTTTTGTTGGTTCCTCATTCTATTTAATAACAAGCAAATAAAAATTAAAGAAAGTACTACCATTTCAGAAGATATACCACAAATGGAAACAAATCATTTGAGAAGCTCTTTTTTCCCAATATTCAACTGTAGCCACTTCATAACTCTAAATAAACATGTAAGTTTGATAAAATACTACAAATGTTTCTGTGCATTGAAGCATTGAAGGTCAATGCTTTCCAATATCAGTTATTTCAACTCGTATTTTCAGATGTACTATAATTTCCTTTGCTGACTTCACATGTCCCAGCAAATGTAAAATCTATTTACAAAATATTTTAGATGAACTTGGTCTATTTGTTATTAATGTCTCAGCCACAGATAACTAGACAAACTACAACTTACATAATACCCCAGTAAGATGTATAAATATATTCATAAAGTCTTGTTGAAATTTAGATTGTCTTCCAAGTATCAGACATACTCCAAAGAGGGTTTAATATGAATATTCTTCAATGAAAACATTTTCATATATTTTGAAAGTTATCCCTACTAATAAAAGAATAGACTATCATCATTTTTATCATTTAATTGTATTATTTTGCATATGTACTGGTTTCAACAGTAAAACTTAACTGCCTTGTTAGCAAAATACGATTCCTTATTTTATTATGTTTCAATTGTAACAACATACTGATAGGCTTTTTATTTTTCCCTCAAATATTTCAGCTGAAAATGCTCTTGTTTTTAACTAAAAGAAAAAAGTGCTATTAAAAATTCTGATAATACAATCTATGTGTTTTTAATTAATAACGTTGCAACTAATAACGTTGCAATTTTTGAATTTTGAATGCTTCATTAATAGAATGGACTGACCATTTGCTTTTCATCCCCTCATTGACAACCACACAATTTTTCCTTACTTAAGCCATGAACTTCACAAACATGAATGCTACATGGTTGAATATGTAAGTTTTAGCGCTTTAAACTTTAGTGATACAGCTGTTGAGCACCATCCGCACCTGACAGTATGGCACTAGCAATAATAAGGCAGACATTTTTTTTTCTTGAAATAATCAAGCTGTTTTCCACTCCATAAATACAAATTATGTTTTATTTTGTATTCACTGCTGCACAGTATCAGAAGATGTTCCAAGCTGCACTTCGTTATTAATATCATTTCTTCTTTGTTCTCCTGCAGATTCAGAAGATTCAGATTTATGATATTTAAAAGGAATGTTAGAATCTACTAAAACTGTCTTCTCTCCATTCTTGGTGTTCTACTTAAATTTTTACTATAAAATTATTAAATTTATCAATACCAAAACTGCACATGACTAATTACATAAAAATTATACAGATCACTAATTTTAAAAAAGTGCATAGACAATAGAACAGAGGTAAAAACTAAACTTCTTAGATGTCTAATTGCTACAAAACTTTTAATAACTAGTAATTTTTCCTAAGAATCACTAGCCCTATTCTATTTAAGTTTATCAACTGCTAATAAAGTTTTTCAGGATTTAACCAGATTATTGGTTTATACTGGCCAAATATCAGTCTAGAATATAAGTATGATTTCCATAATCTTAAGTTAATTTTATAAAACACAAAGGTGAGACACATTTAAGACATACCACACATAAAAAAAATTTTACTTATTCTCAAAATCAGAACATAAATTCTCCCAGATCCTCATAATTTGCAAATTAGCAAGACTACTTATTTGTACTGTTTTTGGTATTACTGCTTAATAGACGTTCACTTTAGTAAACATAAACATTCACTACTTTTTTTTAATCAAAGAGTAATATTTAATTGAAGGTCTTAAGCAGATCCTTTAAAAATACATTTTTTAACACATACTAAGACGATGAACATTCACTCATCAACTTAGTCCACGTTACAATACTCGACTATAAAGAACTCTCTCATGAGACCAAGAACCCTGACATCTATGGATGCGTTCTGACATGTATTAGTCGGTCTCACAAAGAACGTGAAAAGTACAAAACCACAAATTACATGTGGAGCAAACATGTTAATCTTAATGTCATTCGGTATGACTTTAGACATTTTTGGTATTATTTTTAGTTTGCTCTTTTCCCACTACATTTTATTCAGTAAAACTAAATTCAAGAGGCAAGAGTACATAAGAACAGGTAATAGAACTATCTATTAAGGAATAAAAATAAACTGCAGATCAATATCAACTTCCAAAAAAACATATGGAGGGAAGTGTATTAATCAAAATGGTTCGTAGATAGAAGTCATGGATACATATATGGTGTACTGGTTCTAACTTTGCTCAGACTTGATTGACAAAATATATGAAAAGAAAGCATCTCAGCATGGAGGAAAAGGGAAAAAAAAAAAAAGAGTATGGGAGGCTGTGGTTAAACGTTATATCATGGTGTTGGTTGCATAAATGCTGGCACTAAAGAAACTCAAATTTGAATCGTTAAAATGTGATTATTATACATGCCAAAGTATCTCCAAATATTAAGATCTACTTTAGAGAAATACATGGTTAACCCTATCCTTACAGAGAAGAAAATCAACAAGGTAAAAAATCACTAAGCTAGAAGTTTTGAAGAAAAGACTTCTGAGGAAACTCTTCCCCCTAAGCTTCCAAGAGAAAGCCTAAGTGCACAACTTCATAAAAATTTCCTACTATACTCCTGTATCTCCTACTAATAGAAATCTATAGATTCTCATTAATTAAAATAGCAACCAAATATAAGATACTAAGGCAGTAAGGCTTCTACATGAAGCCTTGAAATTTCTTTTAGCATTTACATCCAAAATTAATTTATTTATATGTATGCATATATAAGTGTATGTGTACATGTACACACACACTTGTTCTGCTGATTAAGAATAAAGAGGAGGTAATTAAAACAAACAGACGAAAAGCTCTCCACATACCTGGCAAATCTGATGACATGCTTGACACTGGCGTGTGGTGGAATGGTACTGAGTAGTCTGTTAATGAGGGTGGAATAGCAGCAGGATCCACCGAAGTCACACTGGGCACCCTTACAGAAGATGGCTGATACATGAGGACCCTGTTTTAAACATTATGCCAAATTACAAATCATCTGGCTGTTATTTCACAAAAAAAGAAGAGCCGAACCACTGGGCATTCTCTTAGTCTCAGCACAACCATGTGGCAGCCATTCATTCACTAGACAATACCTCTATATCCTATTCTCATCTTTCCTAACTGCCTTCATTCTAGTATGAATGCACACTGGTTCCAACCACTAGCTGTTGTAGGTCCTTATAGGAGCAAGGTAGAATTAAAATATACCATGAAGCAGTGGCTCTCAACCTGTAGGTCATGTCCCCTGTGGAGGATGAACGACCCTTTCCCTGAGGTCACATAATTCACACTACGATTCATAACAGAGCTAAATTAGTTATGAAGCAGCATCAAAAATAATTTTATGCTTGGGGGGTCATAGCATTAGGAAGGTTGAGAACGACTAGTATAAAGAAATACTTTAATTCTCAAATAGAAAAATACTTTAGATTGATATATATATATGAATAATAATATTTTATCTATAAAGAAACTTGAAACTAAAATAGAGAGCAGTTAAGGTTTGCTTTAATTGCTGGGCACAATGCACATGCCTTTAATCCCAGTATTCCCTAGCATGATTTACATAGCAAGTTTAAAATAAGAACATCTAAATGAAACTAACACCACCTCATTCAGTCTCTTTAGCTATAATTATTTAATTACATTATTTGAAATCTGGAAATGATCTGAACTCAATAATCAATCCTAAAGCTAGCCAGCCTGGTGGTACAATACAATCAGAAACTAAGACAAAATGACCAGTCTTTGGGATTTAGGATCTTTTTGATACCCAGAAATAAAACTGCTAGTCACTATGACATACTGTCTACTCTCTAAGAGAACCTATGCCTTTAAAATGAGCTATTCAGGCTACTAAAATACAAATCAAGCACACAACAAATACTTTACAATCTAGTTTATATAAAAATATGCATACAATATTATTGCGGTTAAATAAGGATCAGAATAAACATAGACTCCATCTGATGCTCGCAATTGAACTTCGTAGTCTAAATCACCCAAATAGTACTGAAGGGCAAGAAGGTGCCATAGAGAACAGCTAAGGCCTGGCACCATGTGGCAGGGTTAGAGTCCCTGAAGGGAGCCTAGGAGAGGCTACTGAAGATGCAGCCCAGTTGCAATGGAAAGCCCAGCATTTTGCAGATGCTAGACCATGGAATAATAGCCAAGGACAGCATTAAGTATGGAGTGGAGAGTCCCGGGCTCAGGAAACAGGCAGTGTGTGCCACAGAGGGCATAGGTGGAGAAGTGAAGGCCATCAGAGCCTCATCATCATGAATTTTATTTAGATGTCTGACAATGCACTTTATACTACCAAGAACATTAGATAAGGGGGCAGAAAAGCATTGGTTTTGACTAGATTTGAATGTAACCAAGTCCTGGTTATTCCCTCTTGAAGTAAAAACATTTAACTTATTTTTACAGGAACATACAACTATGAGACCATGGCTATTTTAGACACACTTTAGAGTTCTACAGGAACTTTGGACTTCAAGTGTCTAATTCCTTTAAAAATGTGATTTTTAAAAGTTTGTGTAGGGGCTGAAAAGATAGTGCAATAGTAAAAAAACTCTGGCTGCTCTTCCCCACCCCACCCCCCAAAAAATGGATTGATTGTTATTGCCTCTCCACCTCCATGATGGCTAAAAACTGTCTATAACTTCAGCCTTCAGCTCCAGGGGATTCTGGCTCCTGAGGGAATTGCCTGCACACAGGACATAGGCATACATACAGTCAAAACAACCACACACACATAAACAAAAAAGTAAAAGTTTGGAGTATTTTATATTGTGATACTATAGTAATGTCATCTTGGGAACAACAAATGGTTGTGTTTGATCAGTGATGTGCTTCAGAGTCAAACGTGAACCTGACACATGCCAGTCATCTGAGATGAGGAAATATCAACTGATAAAATGCCTCTATAAAACAAACGGTCTCGTACGTGTGAGGACACTTTTCTGAATGACGACTGATGTGGGAAGGCCCAGCCCTGCAAGAGGTACCATTGCTGGGCAGAAAGCTGTGAGGTGTAAGAGAAGGCAGGCTGAGCGGGCCATGAAGAGCAAGCCACTAGGCAGCAGTGCTCCATGAATAATGCTTCAGTTCCTATCCCCAGGTTACTGCCTTGAGTCCCAGCTCTGAGTGTGACGATGGGCTGTGGTATGGAACTACAACTCAAACAGACCCGTGGTGTTCACCACAGTAAAAGGAACCCTAGCAAAGGCAGCCTTTCAGTGAGTGCGCTCATCTGCAGTGAGAGGGAGCAGCTGGTAAGAGGGAAAGAATGGAGAAACTGCCTGTGCCAGTGCTGAGGAGGGAGCTTAAAGTACCACTCTCAGGGACCCACAGTATGCTTTCCTAACCATGATCTTTCAATGCAATCTAAGTGGAGAAACCTCAGTTAAGAAAATGCCAGGGAGGGAGGGAGAGCGGAAAAAAGAAAGGAAGGGAGGGACAGAGGAGGGAGGGAGGGGGGAGGGAGGGAGGGGGAGGGGAAAGGGAGCTGTAGGCAGACCTGTAGGGCATTTTTTAAATTAGTGATTGATGAAGGTGGCCCAGCCCATTGTGGGAGGTACCTAGCAGTCCTGGGTTCTATAGAAAGCAAGCTGAGCAAGTCATAAATGTAAGCCACAAAGCAACTCCAATCCATCAGCTCCTGCCTCCAGGCTGTGGACAGTTTGAGTTTCTGACCTGATTTCTTTTGATAATGAATGAATAATGTATAAATGTTGAGCCAAAAAGACCTTTCCTTCTTGAATTCTGGTCATGGTGGTTCATCCCAGCAATAATAACCCTAATTAAGACAGTAAGAGTAAAGTTTTTAAAAACCACACACTCACACACACATATTTAAGTTTTCTACTTAGGAGCTGGTGCAATGGTTCAATGCTTAACAGCAATACAGTTCTGGAAAAATTCCTTGAGTTCACTCTTCAGTGGCCACAAGAGGCAGCAAAAATCACTTCTAACTCCTGCTCCAGGAGACCTAATGGACTCTTCTGGCCTTTAGAAACTCTTCCGTATATTAATTCCACCCTCCCCACCACAAAAAGTTAAAAAATTTTAAATCTTAAAAATAGTATTAAGTTAATAAATTCAAATTAACACTCTACTTAATCTACGACCAGTTCTCCCCATGAAAGGAAACTGCAATGCTTTCAGGGAGTCAAGAGTATAGCTAAGTGAACACCACATGCTGGGCATGCGTGAAGTCCTAGGTTCAACCCCTACCACTATCCCCAAAATTACAGCTTGACAAGAAAAAGATAGTGCCTGTCTCCCCAGAGCTCTTCCTTCTTTAAGAAGAAGCATTTCACCAGGGACTTCCACATCTTGACCTGAACTTAACACTCCATTTGATTCACAGGAAAAACACCAAATTCCCTTTTCTTCCTTGAAACCTTGGCTAACAATTAGAGTCAAGCTCAAGATTTCTCCCATGCCAAAAAATGTGGAGTCTAAATAGACTATTTTATACTTATAACCTAATGGGCACCCAAATTAGTAAATCATTAAAATCTCATTAAAGAGAGTTAATGTTAAAATACTCAGTGTTGATAAATTCCTACTGCTTGACCTTTGCAAGCATTAATAAAAATCTAACTTAACAGCGAGGCAGGGTATTACAGGCCTGCAGTGCCAGCGCTTGGGGGGACAGAAGAAGAGGACCAAGAAACAGTCATCCTTGGCTGCAACACAGGTCAGAAACAAGACCCTGTCTCAAAATACACAAGAGATATGTATTCATAGATATGAATTAGTCCCACAGAGAAATGGAAACGGCTGTCTTCTTTAAGTAATAGTGTAAAATTCAGTAAAACTACTTTTCAAGTTTTAAAATGTGTTATTTACTCAGAATTCACAAATACATGCACAAGCACATATAGACATTAAGCAAATGTAAATGTTTTAAATTTTCATGAGTTTATATTATAGCATAAAGTAAATTGCCAGGACGCTGCTATACAGCACTGGCTACTCTGGTATAAAACATCATGTTTTATACCAGAGAATTACATGGAAACTATACTTGGTCCAGATTTAGTTGTCTGGAAATGACAGTTTTTGTTCATATACCGGAAGTCAACTATGTGCCCCCACTATTGTTCTACAAGCAGAAAGAGATTGGGATCTGTCACCAGCGCCTACTGATTGCCAACGGAGGGACACATATTTAAAGCCCTTGTTGTTTGCTCCCTACTTTTGGAGTAGCTCCTCAATGACAAAGCAGCCATGCAGGCTCTAAGGGACTGGGAAGGAGCCTAACGTTACGGTTAGCTTAAAATTTTTCTGTATGCTTATATATGGTACAAGCTCCTTGAGACAGGAGTTATAAAGCCGCATTAAAAGGCCCCTGAAACAGACTGCCATCAAAATCTGATGGTGCAAAGCATTTCACTTGCTTCTTGATTCACTGAAGAAAAAAAAAAAAAATGCTTATAATTTCTACTAAAATACACCTCTTAAAAATTAGATGGTTCATATAATTCTTGAGGAGTTAAGTTATACTAAGTTTTTCTGATTCCCCATTTTCTATTCTTCATTTGTTTGCTCTCCTTGAACTTTAAAAGCTGGTAAAAACCTAAAACTTCAAGACACTGGGATATAAAATAAGAGCTTACCAGACACAAAACACTAAAAGCAGAAGCGCAGGGAAGCAGCAAGATGTCAACTACTGCATAAGCTGACACCATGACATTCTGACAGATGGCATCTACTCTGACTTTAGGAAGTGTTTTTAAGAGATATTTAAGTGTATGTATGTGCTGACTACATGTGCATGCACTACATGAGTGCCTGGTGTCCATGGGCCTGGAAATGGAATTAGTTGTGAGCCAACAACATGTGGGTCCTGGGAATGGAAGCCAGTTCCTCTGTAACTGCAAGTGCTCCAAATCAATAAGCCATTTCTCTCCAGGACCAGAAAATGAGATTTTAACATAAAACAGCAACTACCAGGGATCAACAAGTTTCCCCCTGTACTGTTCTTCTACTGATCCAAACTCTGCTAAATTTCATACAAACAAGAAAGATCCATCCAGTCAATAGTTCTTTTTCAAGGATCAGAATATTGACAGTCTTGTTTTTTTATGGCTTAATACCTTCAGTCCTAACACCCACAAACCTATTACATTCTAGGCTCCACACTACTCATTTCCCTGCTTGTTCCTCTGGGCTGTATTCATGGGCATTTCTCAATGACCAGCACTGGCTAATGTACCAAGTACAGTCACATGGCCTAAAAGGAATAAAACTGGTATGGTCGGCGTGTTAGACACTTTCTTTTACTGAAGCAGTCCAATAAGAACTCATCATCAAGTTAATTCAGCTATTTAAAAGATACTACAATTTCTATCAGGAGACATTTATTGAATACTTTTAAAGCATCTATTAATACTGGAAACTGTTATGGTTTTGCCACAGTTTCCAATATTATATTAAGGAACTCCTAAACTACTTAGCTGTAGTGAATGTCATTTTAATATATAATTACTAATATTTTAAGACTGAGTTCAGAATCCTCAGTTATATTTTTATGTGAGTTAATATACAAATGACACTTAGGTATTAAGGGTTGTGTCAACTTTATGGAAACAGGAAAGTAATCAAGTAGCTGAAATTTAGAGACTTTCAGGGCTGCAGAAATGGCTCAGTGGTTAAGAGCACTGGCTATTCTTCAAGAGGTCCTGAGTTCTAGTCCCAGTACCCACATGGTGACTCACAACCATCTATAATGAGATCTGGTGCCCTCTTCTGGGGTACAGGAAGGAACAATGTATACATAGTAAGTAGATTTAAAACAAAAAAAAAAAAAAAAAAAAAAAAAAAAAAAAAAAAAAAACCTGTCAAGTATCCTTGATATAACTACAACTTTCTGCCTTATATTTAGTTATTTTTCTTTTCAATCTACATAAAGAATCTTAATATCAACCTCTGTGCTATGTGACCATGAGTATCAGCTACCTCTATTCTGCATACCCTGGTCATTTTGACTTCTGTCACCTAATGCATGTGCCACTTATCCAGTTTCAAGTCCTCCTGAAGTATTGGTCAACAGAGTGCAGGACACATGTGGTAGATTTTTGCAGTATGAAGCGAGGCACCATCTACAATTGCTTCAATTTATAAGTCAACATCACTATATAATGTTCAGCCACACATGAAATGAACCCTAAGATCTGTCACTCAATTTTCCTCATATTCTAAAGTACGCTTTCTTAAAACCATGGGTAATGTCAATGGGGTAATAGGCAAAGGTTTCTGAATGAATTACTAAAATTTACTTTGTAATTAAATGGGTAAGTCAAGGTGTTTTTGGCAATTCTCACCCATGTTGCATCATGTTATTAGCACGGATATGCACATTATGCACCATACATGCAGTTATACCATGCCAACAAATGCCACCTGAAATGCTTTGGCTCAAATTCATCACTATTATGACCCACCATGTTTTCAGTGTAAAGTTTTCTACTGTTATAAGAATATAACACTGATGAAATAAAAAAATTTTATACCACTATTCCCAAATATAACATCTTTGGATCATATTATGAAACACTGTTTGACTGCAAATATTTAGAGTTGCTCATTTTAAAAAATCATTACTTTTATAATTGTATACTATGTATTTGTGTGAATGACTATTCTTAGCACTGATGATTATAAATTAAAATAGTGATCAATTCTGAAACATAGTGAAGATGTTCTATATGGAGCAACACCAACTATTTAGATAAAATTGTGTGTGTGTGTGTGTGTCTGTGTGTGTATGCATGCGCACACGCACATATGTGTATATGTGTAGGCCAAAGGTGGGTATCAAGATATGTTCTTCAATCATCTATCTTAGTTTCTAAAATAGGATCGCTCACTGAACCTGGAGCTCACTGATTTAGCTAGAATGGATGGGCAACAAGTCTCTGGGATCTGTCTGCCTGTGCCCCCAAACTAATACTGGGTCACAGATGCAAAAATCAGATTTTCATATGGATGCTGGGGTCCTAAATTCAGACCTATACTCTTGTACGCAAGCATTTTACCCACTGAGCCATCTCCTTTGCCTCCCATTATTCTTTTTGTAAAAATAGGCACATCTATCTCATTAGTGTACAATTTGTTTCCACTTTTAACAAATAGCAAAGTTGTATGTATACTAAAGAATTGTTTTCAAATAACTTTATGATTAATAATCAGTAAATATTTGATTTGTATGCTTAGTTAATATTCCTGGGATCACTGAAAAATTTATCAAGCAAAAACTGATCATGAATCGAAAAAGTCTGAAACTATTATAATTGTAAAACATTTAATTATATTTGAAATGACAAGGTAAAACATAGAAATACTTAGGTATCCATTGCAGTAAGCACTACAAAACTGTATCTTCATTTGTTTATCATTTGATATTCAGAAGTATCAAACAAATTATCCAAAAAGGCAATAATAATCAGCACATCACAAAAAAAATCTATTTTCTTCATTTTGGATTACTAAAAATAAAAACTTATTCTAATATTCTAATTAGGTAGGTAGAAAAAAACATAAGTCTATATTCATACTATGATATATAAACATTTTAGGGTACTTTGGGGGCAGGAGCCTTGGTTGGTCTTAGACTCACGGTGATCTACCTACCTCAACCTCTGAAACACTGCAGTCACAGACATTAGCTAGCTATCACACATGCTCAGAATAAATGCTTTAATAGTGCAGAACGCAGTTCAAACACTTTAAGTCTAAAAAATAACTGTTAAAAGTTACTTCAAAGTACCTATGAAGAATTATAAAAAGGAATTTGAAATATACTCAAAATATAACTAATTTATATACAGTGTCCAAAACAAACAATTCAGAAAATTTCTTGTTTTTGAGACAGGGTTTCTATGTGTAGTCCTGGATGTCCTAGAACTCACTTGGTAGAACAGGCTGGCCTCTGCTTCCCGAGTGTTGGGATTTAAGAAGGAAACTGATGTTGCCTACAACTAGGGGATGCATAATAAACTTAAGTATGTGGGTTTTTTCACATTGGAAATATGCTAACAACTGTCTTGGAATGATGAAAGTACAATTTTATGATATGTACTTAAGATGGATACATTTTTGTTATTAAAAAGATACACAAGAAAACACTAAATAGGCCGAGGACAGCGATGAGACTAACACACCCAAGTCTTAAGAATGTGGTCATGGCTTGTCACAACAATTTATGGACGTCAAGATCTCTCTGTGAGAAGGATCTGTAAGTTCCAACAACTTCCCCTTTATTAGTAACAGAATGTACAACACCCATCTGCTTGCCTACATTTTGCTTTGTAAAGTATTAAGATGATGAATTTTCATTAAGGAACTGTCACATTCCTGACATGGTAGCCAGGTTCTTTCATAATCTCATGAAAATCTAACAGTGAATCCATAAATCGGGGGGCATGGGAGCCCTCATTTTAACAGAACAGAAAATGGGTCAAAGTCACTCAAAGATTATAACCACAATATCCTCACAAGTAGGCAAGTGCCAGAAATGGATGTCTTTAAAGTGCCCTGCATCTACATTCCATCATACCAACATCCTTACACCTAACTGTCAAATCTCGCGAGCAGGTTCAAGAATACAGTCCTAAATTATGAATACTTAAACTCCCATTTCCAGAAATGTTGACTAGTTTCATCAATTTGATTTCCTGTCAATAATGTGCTTACATGAAAATATTTCCACTGTACCAAAAGCAGATGAAAACGGCCTTCTATAGTGACTCCTCATAGACGTATTTCAAAACCATCCCAAGAAAACTAGTTTTAAATGCAATGAACAATAGTGAACTAAAAATTGACAAACCCTTTGGTTGGACTGCTTTGTGTTTCTGACATAAAGATGCATTTCCTTTTGGCAGGAGGGTCTTCCTCTTCATCAGAAGAGCTCTCTATTGTTAGATCAATAACATCTATCTTCTTCTTGCTTGCATCACTGGCTACAGTCACTGAACAAGGTTTACTAAAGATGCTGGAACCTGGATGTAGGTAAACAGGAAGGAAAACAAACATCAAAGACATAACACAAACTAGTCTGAGTGTACACCTATACTCATGAGAACACATCCAGGGAAGCCATTCTTCTCTAGTAGGGACAAAGTCCAGGCGCCTAACTTGTCAACCCTTTCTGTGAGGACAGAGGTCAGACACCTTCTGCACAGCACCTATCCTCTCCAGGAGCATCAGGGGTTAGTACACAGCCTAGTGCTGCTCGCGCTGTGTTTCTAGGTTAGTAATCACTGTGCAGACAGAACCTGAGGGATGGAGAACTGGTCTTACACCCTGGGTAAAGAGCATAGAGTACGCACAGGCAGCTGTGTGTTGTTGTACACCTGTGGCACTGTTAAGTTAGAGACATCTGGCCTTGAGTACGCAGTTTAAGCAGCTGCATATTTTTACACGTGGCACCACTGAGTTAAAATCAGACTCTTTACTACACTAATTCTGCTCATATTTTAATAAAAATGTCCCAAGCTGATGACCTAAGTTGCTCTGACATGAATCATCTAGTCACCACCCATTCTGTTTATATAGGCAACTGCATTTATCATGTCATGTAACACTGCTCCCTATAATCTGTCAAAAATGAATGCTACTTCATTGTGAAAACACATCAGACATTAATCAATAAAACCGTGTCCACTCACACGTTTTACTTAACAAGGGCAACCCTGGCAATCCAACCCCAAGAGGTCTGTGACAATCACATGAGAATAATTATCATTGCCATAAAGTTTTTATTTCCCTTCTTACTCAGAAAATCTTTATTGTGTCAGAAAAAAGTCAAATGCAATGAATTCAGAGGTTGAATGTAAGCATGTATTCCAACTCCTCAAAACTCTCTTAGTGTGTCCTTTTAATGCAGGTTAGTACAGGAAGGTAAAAACAAGTACACATACTGGTTAACTAAAGATATAAAATTCCTCCACGAAGGAAAAAAGAAATGGAAGAATTTGTTCAATAACAACTAATTCATGACTACCATCTTCACACTACTAAATGATATATATAACCTCTCCAACCATACTGGGTTCTGTAGAGATGCACAAAATAATTTCTAACCTTTTTGTTTCTCAAGTGTGTATATGTAGTATACATGCATGCATATGTATGTCTGTACATAAAGGAGCATGCATGTGAAGAACAGAGGTTAACATCAAGCAGAGTCTCACTTAAACCAATTTGGTTACTGAGTCTAGCTCAGTGGTTCCCAACCTTCCTAATGCTTTAACATTTGTCCTCATGTGGTGGTGACCCCTAACCATAACTTATTTTTGTTGTTAGTTCATACCTGTAATTTTGCTATTGCTATGAATCATAACGTAAGTACCTGTGTATTTCGACGATCTTAGGCACACCCTGTGAAAGGGCTGCTTGACCCCAAAGGGGAGGACAGCTCTCCGTAGGTGTCCCTGTCTGCCTACAGAACACTGAAATCACGTAAGCCTCACACATGGTCACCCACTTCATGAGTTCCCAGCTCTGAACTGGTCTTCATGCTACACCCATCCTCAAAGCTTCCTAACTTTAAATAACTCTTACTTGTTTGCACATGAAATAGCATTTAAAAGCTGTTAAGATAGTATAGAAGTTAGCATATTCTTTATAAAAAAGAAGAAAGTGACAGAAGGACTGATGGCCCAAAGATAGTTAGCAACTTAAATGCTAAAAACAGTCCTGGTGGTCAGAGTTAATATTTCCTAATTTACACTTCTTCAGGCACCCTGCCAAGTAGCACATACTTTCTATTTTTGTACAGGGCTGGCTGGTTACTTTCATAGCTTCTTTCTTGGGTCTCATTGGACACCAAGAACCATCTTCTTGGAACTTGATCTCATCTACATCAGAACAGTCATTGAGAATTTCCATGAAAAGCCTGTATAAATCAATTAAAAGTACATACATGTCATAGAAGTCAAAGTAGTATACACTGAAGACAAAGTAATAATATGAAACTTTTTTGGAACTTCAATTATTTTACACTTTATAGCAATTACAATTCCTCTATGGATGGATGGATGGATGGATGGATGGATGGATGGATGGATGGACGGACAGACAGGTGGGAAGATAGGAAGGACAGGAATAGAATCAGTGTCTATCCCTATCACTGCATGTACTTGTACTTAGGCACACATAATTACAATCAAATCTTTACTAAAAAAAGACCTAACTTATCCTAGTTCACATAATCTGCACAATTCTAACATAAGCAATATTAAGAAAGCACATTTAGAAATCCAGAGCCAAAATAACCTAAGCACAGCTTTAAAACTTAGCAGTTATGTAATGTGGCTACATTTACGGTCCCTGTTACTACTAATTACGTTACTCTTTTTGAGACAGAGTATCTAGCCCTGACTAGCCTTCAACACAGAGATCAGCAGTCGTGTTTTGCCATTTCCTCCCCACTTTTTTCTATTTTTCTGTCTAGCTGTTTGCCCAGTTATACTAACCCATCTAATATCAGACTCTCATAGGCAGCCTTCTTGTCACAAACAGGACAAATCCAGGTGGGCTTCTTCTCATTCATCTGAAGATACAGGGCAGCATCAAAACACTGCAGATGTGTACACGTCACTGCCCGGCATGGGATAGTCAGCCTCATTTTCCCTAACTATAACAGAGGACACAACATGAAAATGAGTTCAAATGAGTCAGGAAAGCCTTCAGGAGAGGAAGAAATCATAAAAGTCTTAACAAGTCAAACAAGATGATCAAAATAAAAAGACCCAACCTAAATTTACTTTCATAAAGACTTTTATCTTCTTATTTATGGGTGGTCTTGAGATTTTGGAAAGATCATTTTACTTTAGTAATGTGTAAGTCTAAAGAAAGAGGGAAACCCACCAAGAAATAAATAAATGAATAAATAAGCCTTACTTGCCTCCCCTCCCCCCCTTTCTCTATTGAGGAAACCATTGTTAGACATCTCTTGCAAACCCTTTCATGAAAGTTTGAGCAGAAATCAAGTACACATTTTAAAAAATTATTTTCTCACAAATGGTGGTATATTTCACAAAATTTTGTACCTTACTGTTACCCAATTTGTGAGCTAATGCACATAAATCTGTATATTAAAAAAGCAGCCAGCAGGAGCCAGAGAGCTACATCAATGGTTCAAAGCACACAGTGACGTTGAAGAGGACCCAAGTTCACTTCCTAGCATCCTCATGAGGTGGCTCACAACCAATCACAACTCCAACTCCACACTCCTCACACCTCCATGGGCACCTGCCCTCATGTGAAAATGCACGCATGCAGGTACGCACTTTAGAAAGTAAATCTCTCTCTCTCTCTCTTTTTTTTTTTTTAAAAACTACTATGATACAAAGACATCATGGTTTAATGAATTAACACACTAGTGATAGGCATTTAAAGTTTCCCACATTGTATCAATATAATGTCATGAATGGGAAGGTACCTCAAAATGCATTTTTTTTGGATCAAAGGGAAATCTTTGTGGTCTTTGAACACTGACAAACTACCTTAAACAGAGAAATTCAGTGATCTGCAAATTCTTACACACTAATATGCTTGACTCCACGCAACCATTATCACCAGTGTTAATGAATGTTTGATTTCCACCAGTCTGGTTGGGGAGAAATATTCCAATGCACCTGTGAACTATATTTTTCTTATTTTCAGTGTGAACTGAAGCTCTTCTACTTTAAAGAGCTATTTGTGAATCTAAGAACTTTTTATGCATACCCTTTATTCAATTTTTACATGGCCACTAAATTTATTTATAGGAGCTCTTTACATAAGAAAACAAGCCTTGTGTGTAACACAAACTAAAAATATTCATGAAAACTTTGTACTATTATATAATCCAATGTGTCAATTTCTAGTATGTTTTTATATAGCTATATTTATATTGTTCTGCTTAACACTTATAGGTCAACTAAAAACCACAGCCACATAAGATCACATCAAGTTTCCTTTTATAACCCTTAAAAACCTTGTAATCTCAGTGCTGGGGAGGCAGAGACAGGAAATCCCTGGGATTCACTGACCAGAAACCCTGCCTGGCCAGCAAGCACCAATTTCCAGTGAGAGCTTGGCTCAATGCCCAGAGTAAACAGTTCCTGAAGAAGCAATACCTAAGATTGACCTCTGTCCTCACAGGCACAGACAGACAGACACAGACAAACAAACAGACACACACACACACGACTAAACAGCATTTGTCCAGTAATCAGGACTACTAAAAACTAGTGTACTGATATTTTAGCTCAATCTGGCATCAATTTTGGAAACAAACAGAATAAAATTATTTTTTTCAGTTCTATTAGTGACCCTATGCCTTGGGTTAGCCAATCTTGGCCAGTATCATCATCTACACAATAAAAATACTCCAACATTTACATGTTATGGAAACAATAGTTATTTTCTTCTCTTTCTCTCTGACATAATTTTCCATTAATTTTTTTTTTTTTTTTTAAGCATGGCTTACAAAGGTAGCAATCATCTAATCAGTCACCCAAAACTACATTAGAAATACATGATTCACCGCTTTTCTAATAAAGTTCTTCTCATTTTGAAAGGCTTTCTTCCACACAGTTCATTTTTGCAGGAGCTTTCATCCGCTCTCCCTGACACCCCTCCACCTCCATGAATCACTACATATACTCTGCCTCTTTCTCATGGGATGTGTTTGCTAGATAGACTGGCTACTTTCTCTCAGCTCAGTGCCAACCACACATTACAGAGGATCTCAGAGCTGCTGAATGATTTCTCACCTAAATCATTATATAAGGAGACATGAAATAACTGTGTGATTTGAGTGCACTCCAAAAACAGTCCATACATCCTAATTCATTAAACCAAGACCATCAATTAGCATTTTTAAACTCCAGTAATGTTAATGCTATTTATATTATTACATGAACTCTGATAAAAGAAGCTTTTAATATGCTTACTAAACTCACTAGTTACATAATTAATTATGACAGGGTTTCTGAGCCTAAAGCTTTCTTCTCTCGTGTTAATTGCTTAAAGAATACAAACATTCCCTAACTCATGAAAATACCTAAGTTTAGAATTCTATCCAAATACTCCTTCACTCATCCCCACCCTAGCTTTTATAAGACATTGGTCACTTTTGAAAAGCAAAATTAGCTAGAATGTTTTATCACTTTACTTACAGGGCACATTAAGGACACTCGAAGACTAGTTGTAGCAATTTCACTATCAGGATCTGCAGTAAGTTTTTCTTTAACTTTAAAAAGAAGAAAATGAAAACAATAAACTTTAAAAGAATGGTACCTAGAGCACAATTACAGAAAATATTTGAAAAGTTCCTAGCCTCCTTGAATAAGTGAAAACTAGACAAGATGTTGAATATTAATGTAGTGAAAACACAACTACATCCTCATTATTAGATTAAGGAATTACCAGCAGGCAAACACTGCATAACATATTTAACTTAATTTTTAAGATTTCTTTTAAAACATAAGGTCACTGGAAAGAAGGAATTACAAACAAAAGCTTGTTTTAGAATTTAACAAAACAAGAGACGAATAAGGAATGGAGCATGGGCCTTAGCTCTAAATGCTTTCAAAGACACACTCATCACATTTTAATTAGGCTATATTGGCTGTCTCCAACAACTGCTCAATTTGTAGACAGAAAGATATATTCTATATTCTTTATTTCCTCCAAAAACTGAAAACAATGTGATAATGTGTCTGAGATTTCTTCCACTAGGTAATGTATACAAGTTATAAACACATGAACGTGAGTGTGTGTGTATGGTATATGTATATGTACATATTAATGATTAATATATATATATGGCATATTGCTATGATGTAAGAATTTCCTTCCATCAAAGTGTCTCGTATGTTTAGTCTTACAATACTTACTTAGTGCTCTGGAATGATCAGGATTTCTAATACCTTTCATTTTTAATCTCTGTAATAACATGGCTGATGTAAGCTGTCGTACGAGATATACAGACATGGAGTAATTCTATAAAGAAAGAAAATCTGTATTAAGGACAAGACAGTAATTTGTTTAAATTTTTAATTATGTAAAATGCAGACGGAAAAAACTCTAGGCCTCCAAAGGCCAGTCGGCCACTGGGACAAGGAGAACATCAATCAACTAAGCGTTTGGGGAAGCAATGGGTTTTCTCATTGTGAAATTATTTTCATTCAGTTATTTTAAAATATCTACTTGTGTGTTAAACAGTGTGGACCAGTGCTTTTCTGATTATGGGGGCCACCATGAGAACATTTTCCCGCTTATGGCAACCAGATTCTTGTTTTTATTTACTTAAGCAACAATGTTTGCTCTTATAGCTTCATTCGAAAACCGTCCACACTGCAGAAACCCAAGTTCAAAGACACTGCTCTAAATCGACACTTCAAATTACAGTGCCAAACTTCTAGTCCTTGGGCAAATGACACCAATGAAGTCCACACCAGCGTTTTTCTTAGGAAAGACTAACAAAAATAAAAACCAAGATCGAGAAGTTCCTATGTCCGATTTCATGCCTAAATATTATACCATGGAACTGCTATTAACTATTTACAGAGAACCAAGGACTAAAATACTCTATTATGCCTTTTCATTGCATAGCAAAATTAGTATGTTTGCAATGGCTCTATTTATTTTAAAATGTAAGCTATTTACATATCTATAATTATCTTTGTGGCTAAAATGAAACAAAAAATCCTACTATAAACATATAAATCAATTTCTGCCTATAAAACAGGAGTAGTACATTTTATTTCCATGAAATGGGAAAACAATTGATACCTGAGTTTAAATTAAACCACTACTTGAAGAAATAAAAACATACACAACACATATTTTCACTGTAAAATAAAAACAAAATTCATGAAACATTATAGTTGATCTCACTGAATAGAAAACAACTGCTTTTAAGAAGTTACAGTCAGGAAACAGGAGTTCTGTAGTTTTAATGTGAAATGTCCCTCACACGCTTTGAAGACGTGGTCCCCAGGAGATGGTGCTGTTTTGAGGCTGTGGAACCTTTAGGAAGAAAGGTTGAGACACAGAGCAAGTAGTTGCTTGCCACCATATTCTGTCTACCATGCTGGACTATATCAATAAGAACTTTGAATCACAATAAGCTTCTCTTCATTAAAGTGATTTCTATCAGGGGTTTTGTCACAGCAACAAGCACTATACGAAGCTGGTATCCTAAGAAAAGAAATCAATTCCCAATGAAGACACACTTTCACCCTACCCAGAAATAAAATTCTTACCTTTCCAATTTCAGATGCCCAAGAAATAGAAATCTGATTTGGCACAGCGGAAGACAACCTAACTAAAGATGTAATATTCAAGGGCCGTCCAGGACGCTTCTGTTCAATCCCATTTTTAGGTGGTGGTGCATAACCCTATAATCATACAAAGAAAATAAGGCTCTGTAGGGTTTAAACGCTTTCTCCAAGATACAAACAGGATCTTGCCTAGTTTTTGTTACATGTTATTTTTATTTTATCTTAGATACAAATAAATCAGAAAAATAAAAATCCATATCCCAACACTTCATGTTGACATCTTGCCATATTGGCTATGAATCTTTTTACCGAAAACCAATCTATACAGATAAACTGACACCTCATCTAAAGGAGGCCCCATTCAAAATACATATACATGAAAAGAAAGAAGTAGAGAGCAATCTTTGGGAATGAAGTCATTATTAAAGGGTTCACTAAAATCTTGTGAGAAGTTACAAATGCTTTCTATTGTCTGTTCCGAATAAAAGAGAAACTATAATTTTTAACACCATGTTAAGGAACTGGAAAGATGGCTCAGAAGTTAAGAGTGCTTGCTTCTCTTCCTGGTTACCCAAGTTCAATAACCACTAAACTATATTAGCTAGTTCACAAGTGCCTGTAACATTAGCTTCAAGGAATCAGGCTCCCTTTTCTTGGACTCAGCTGGCATTCACAGACAAATGCATGTGTGCACACATACCCAAATAAAACTGAAACAAAATTTTAATGGAAAAACAACCCCCCCCAAAAAAACCCAAAACAACAACAAAAACAAAAACCAAAAAAAAAAAAAAAACACCCCACCCCAAAGAAATCAACCCTGTAAGCTTTCATGAGGGAGATCCAGCTCTGTGAGTCCCAGGTCAGCTAGGACCATGTAGTAAGTCTCTGTTTCAAAACAACAACAAAAGCACACCAAAATGAAACAAACAGAAAATCCAGGATAATACATTTTTTTTAAAGCACTACTTCAGTTGGTATTAAATTGGCTGTACTTTGCTTTAAACAGGAAACCTACTCAAGCTTTATTTATAGTATATACAATTATCAGTTACCAAAAGTCTGTGACTTTCAAAAGCAAAACAATCTAACTTTTAGAAAATCAAAATGTCTAGGATACAGTAATGCCCACATGCTGAAGAGTGACACAGCATGTTCACCGTGTATGGCAGCTGATATGCCATTTAGATCTTCCCCTAAAACACTTACGACACAACTCACTGTATAATTACCTACTTTCTTTCTCTTAAAATTTTACATTTTAGCTACTCTTGGTTTTATTTAATACAAAATAAGAGATTTTATTTGTTTGTTTGTTTGTTTGAGACAGGGTTTCTCTGTGTAGCCCTGGCCATGCTAGAACTCACTCTGTAGACCCGGCTGGCTTCGAACTCAGAGATTTGCCTGCCTCTGCCTCCCAAGTGTTGGGACTAAAGGCATGCATCACCAAGCCCAGATATTATTTTCATACACACTCCAAGAAAATATAAACACAATGAATTGTCTACCATAGTCTTACATCCTTTTTGTTGAGACAGGGTCTCTCTATAAATAGCCTGGCTGTCCTGAACTCATTATGTAGACCAAGCTGGTCTGGAATTCAAAGATCTGCCCTCTACCTCCAAAAGCGCTAGGATTAAAGGTGTGCACCACCATACATGGCCTTCCATATTCTTTTCTAACAGAAGAATCTTCTAAGGAACTTTTCATTCTAACACTTACATTTTTATCCTTTATTACAGAAAAGCTTTACAAATATAATCTTAATACTATACTTCATTCCACTAACACATCTCAGTCTCCTTGAAAGTCAATGACAACCTTAATTGTATGTGTTAATGCTAATAATCTGGGATTTCCCATTATAGGTGACAGGCTTTCAGACAACAGCCAAGATCCATGGATCTTTTTCATGATTTCCTTGAAATTATCTATTAGCTCAAAAGCTGAGGGCACGTAGCTACCCAGTCAGGTCTGATAAACAGCATCAAAGTTATACACATAGGCAATGACAAAATATCACAGCTCACACAGATAAGCAAAGGTTAAGAACCCTGTAGATAGGGGCTGGAGAGATGGCTCTGCAGTTGAGAGTACTGGCTGCTCTTCCAGAGGACCCAGGTTCAATTCCCAGCACCCACATGGCAGCTCACAACTGTCTGTAACTCCAGTTCCAGAGGATCCGACACCTTCACATCAATGCACATAAAATAATTAAAAAAAAAATTCTTCTAAGATTTCAACAATGCTGAATGACATACCTTACAAAAGATAAAGTTCAGATTGGTACAAAAGCAGGGCTACAGAGTATGCCCAAGTCAACCAGAATTTGAGAGCAGCCTTCCTTCACTGTCTCTAAAAGGGAGCATAGTAATTATTAAGTGAGTAGGCTTATGATGTGTGACCTATGACTATCAACAAAATTCTAAACATCATCAAGTTCTTGTACAAAGAACTTGAATTATAACATGGAAACAGAAGTGGTGTGTGTTTATTTTAAGAGGGGTGTGACCATGTATTGGTCCGTGTGAAACAGAGGAAAAGAGAAACTCAAAAATACGTCCTCTACCTTTAGGAGTTGGGGAGATGGCTCAGTGGGCGCATGAGGACCTAATTCGCCCCCCAGCGTCCATGTAAAAAGCTGGTCTGCATAGGCCTGCAGCTCCAGCACCAGAAGGCAGACAGAGGTGGATCCCGAGAGTTGGATGTCCAGCCAGTCTGCCTAGGCAAAACAGCTTCCAATTCAGTTAGAGACCTGTCCCAAAGCAGTAAGGAGGAAAGTGATAGCACTTAACAAGCAACAAACACAGGAACATCAATACCAGTATTTAAGCAATTGTAAATGCAAACTTTTGTTTTTGTCTGTTTGGGACTTAGAAAATTAATTCTGCTTTTGCTTTATCCATTAGTAAGTTAACCAAATACAAACAAATCATTTGGCAGGTCTGCCAAAAACAATTTAACAAAAAAAAAAAAAAAAAAAAAAAAGCTTGTGTCCTAGCTAAAGAACTCTAGTTGGAATTTGAGTCACAAGACATTTCAACAGTGTGGAAGGGACAAGAGCAGAGGAAGCAACAGTAAATGTATTAGATGTGAAAAGCAACATAGGGCATTTGCTCTGCATGAACAATGCTGTAGATTCAATCAACAATATGGCCTCACTCTCTGTGTGTCAGGTTCAGCTTTTATTTCTTTAATCTTTGTGTGTGTGTGTGTGTGTGTGTGTGTGTGTGTGTGTGTGTGTGTGTGTGTGTGTACATGTATGCATCCACAGTACCTGCAAAGGCAAGAAGAACCTGAGGCAAGGGTTGGAAATCTGGGATTGGAGTTACATGCCTTTGTGAGTTGCCCTATGTGAATGCTGAAAATTAATCTCAGGTTTTCTGTCAGAGCATCAAATGCTCTTCAACACTGAGTCACCTCTCCAGCCCTTGGGTTTGAATTCTTAGATGTCAGTATTTCAGAGGGAATTGGTGTGTCCTTCCTATGGTACCATGTCATAAAGCAAATGGAAGCTACTTGTCCCACTTCCCCTGATTGATCACATCAATCCAAGGACTTCACTCTGCACTCTCCACAGTTAAGATTCCCATCAAGGGGAAGTCTCTCCCTTCGTTGCTTTATCAGGGTGTTTTATAACAGCAACAGGAAAAGAAACTGAGACGGATGGTGAATTCCAGGCTCAGCAAGAGTCTATCTCAAAAGCATTAAGATGGAGAATAGGGACATCCCAATGTCAACCTTTGGCACATGCACACCTGCACACAAATTTAAAAATTAAAACATGTAGCCAGTTCAGTAGATACAGCACTTGCTGAACAAATATGAAGACCAGAGTTCTGTCCCAAAACACAGGAAAAACTCAGGCTGGCATGGCAGACTCCTGTAATTCCATCAATAGAGAGGAGAGACAAGATTCCCAGAAACACAAAAAACTGGACAGCTAGACTAGCAGGAATTGGTGAACTCTGGATTCAGTTAGATACCCTGCCTCTAAACAAAGTGGGGAGTGGTCAAAGACACCACCCAGCATTAACGTCAGGCCTCTACATGCATGCACATACCAACATGTAAACACAAAATACTATATACATGCACACAACATATACATTAAAAAATGAAATCATCTTAAAGTGTGCAAAACAAAGTTGCTTTTATCACTTACTTGATTATCACACACTACTGTCAAAGCAATTAATATTTCCTATTCCATTTACTTTGTAAATGCAATATAGTAGCCATCTGCAATGGGTCCACAACGACTGGATATTATATTATAACAGAGTCACACATGTAAGGATTTATGCTAGGTCATAGTCAAGTTATATTCATATTTACCATTGGGAATTCCATAGTTCAATCAAGATTATCCCTGCAAGATCTGTTTTCTGGAAATTGTGATCATAGGCAAGAACAAGTCAAAACTTTTTGTTTTGCTTTTTACAGTTGGATTAAGGTCCCACATCTATAGACTTCAATCCAACCCCTAAAGATTTGCTGTATCTTTCTTGAGGCTGTAATATACTTATATGATTGTTATGAATCTCAGAACCCTGCTAAGTGCAAATAAAGAAAGACACCGTGTTTCATTATCTAGACTCTAGTAATTAGGGACCAACAGGTACTTTGAGTTTTCCATCAACTGCATGGGAGCTTATATCATCTGTTCTCTAAAATTTCCTAAGCATGGTGGCACACATCTCTAATCCTGGAGCTCAGGAGACAGGCAGGTGGATTATAACTAGGACAACCTGGCCCACATACCAAGTATCAGGTCAACCAGGTCTCAAAATAACAGAGAAAGGGTTTTCATGAAGTTTGTGGACTTGGTGTAGAACACCGAGGGCCTTGCTGCTTCTGTCCTTGAAATATATCTTAGTCTTTCTCACAGTACTCACACTCTTCTCTTCACAACAACCTGGCGCAAGAACCCCTATCCCCACAGACAGCCTAACTGGTGTAGGGACTTAGGGGTCTTTGGTGCTTTAGGGAAAATACCAGTACTCAAGTATGTCATTTTCATTGTCTCAAAATTTCTGGAAGAGTAATAAGAGACCTGTCATAGTGAAGTTACAGACCTTATCCATTAAAATAATGATACTGACTGGACCATTCAGAGTTTTGTGAAACTTACACAGATACACTGTATAGCCATCACAGTTACTATAAAAATGTCAACAAGTTTAGGAGGAGCTGGTACACTGCAAACTCCATCAATGGCACAGTCATATCACACCGGATAGGTGTAAATACATTAAAAAAAAAAAAAAGCCTCCACAGTTTTATCTTTCCTCTAGGATAGCAAAAAAGGTAAACAAGAGTCCATGAATCTTAGCACATACTAAGCAGTAAAACTTAACTGTGGGGGGAAAATATCACATAAAGTATGCACAGAATCATCCTATGATTTTGCGATACTTCCTTTGTCAATCATCCAACCACCTAATTGGCATCCTTCAGCTCAAAGTACAGGTGCTTCCTCCCTTGTTCAGATGTCTGTGCAATACACTCAGAATACACATGTACAGATCATCTAAGGTAAGCAATCCTCCCTGATCATAAGGACCCAGACAGACCCTTTGACTTCCCCTGTTGTCCTCAAAGGACCATCTCAGACTTCACAGTCTCTCAAACGTCTTTTAGAAAAGTCAAGTTAGTAATACAGCAGTGCTTAAGCTCAATAAAATTCATTGGGCATGCAAGTAAATGAATTCATCAGGTAAAGGAGCTTGCCATGTAAGAATGATCATCAGAGCTCAATCCCTAGAACCTATAAAGATGGAGAGAACTAAGTCCTCAAAACTGTCATCTGACTTCCATGAGTTCACCATGGAACTCCTATGCATCGTGTGTGTGAGAGTGTGTGTGTGTGTGTAAGGACAAGTGATTTTTCAGGTTTCTAAGCCCCCTAGCCATTAATTAATAAGACAAATGATATGCCTAGCAAGAAGGTAGTTTTCCTGGGTCATGAACAGTTATAAGCACTTAGTTCTTGGAGAACCTAGATTCCTGGACTGTACTGAGTGACTTGTTCTCCTGCTCAAAGGTATTGCTCAAATAATCATTCAAAGTAAAGTCTCAAGCCTAGCAGGACTGTCAAATACCTTGTCTCTAACAGCTGCTTTTGCTGAAAAGGCAACACAGAATATCAGTGGAGTCAGAGCACTTCAATCACAACAAATATACACCTCTGCTCTGTAGTGCTCAACATACGCTCCTCCCCTGCTCCTGAGTTACAGTCCTGTTAGCTTTCTACATAACCATACCAACTTAGTCATGTGTTCCAGGCCACACTGGGAACTAATATATAGTACAGTTCAACAACTGAAGTGCTATTTTAAGACCTAAGGATTTGAAGATTCCAGTAATTTCAAGCCAGAAACCAGCTATATATGTTTGCATTGTATATTATTTCACAAGTTGTCTCACTGTTAGACAAGCTGCCAATCAATTATTTGCTCCCTGAGACTCCAAGTGTGTACATTATCAAAGCCAAGCTTAAATCCTGGATTCTGTTGCTATTTCTGTTCTCCTTAATAGAACCTACAGGCTAAACCCAGCTAACTTAGAAATTCACTATATTGTGTTTTGTATGTTCAAATGTCCAAGTTTAGCTGTTAGATATGATCCAAGAGCCAATCAAAACTTCCTTGAATTCTAGAATATAAAGTTTCAGGCTCATCCTTGCTATCTTCCTTAGGTCCCAAATCAGCCATTTATTTATCAAAGGAGTTATGTGCACCTCTCTAGAGATGGCCAGAATTATTAAGTACCAATTTGCCCCTGTTTATACTAAACCTATACAAAAATCTGGTAAACAGCAACTTACAGGTAAAGGAAAGAGTTTCCCATTTACTTTTATACACAAACTATTGGGATAGTTATCTTCTTGAGGACAACTGGTCTCCGCCAAGCAAAGTCTGTATTTTAAAAAAAAAAAAAAAAATTGTTAGGGTACCAAAACATGCTTTTATATATTTTAAAACCCCAATGCATACAGAACTTAAAAACAACAAAAATAAAAATAAAAAAAAAAAAAAAATCAAACTCACCGAAGCTGAACTTGGACTGTATAATCTCTCCTGCCACCTGGCAAAAAATCCCTATTGGCAAGGGGAGAAAAAAAAGTTAAGAAAGTACAATAAAAATTCACAGAACAGCAGCTGAGGACATGACTCAGTAGGTAATGTCAGATCCCAAGCACTCATGTTAAAGCTGGGGTGCTGTTTTAACAGTGAGCAACCATACCACACCACATAGGGGGCAGTATTTATAAACAGGAAATCTCTGATTGCTTGCCCAGCCAGACTAACTAGAATAACAAGTTCCAGGCTCACAGAGAGACCCTGGCTCAGTGAACAAGGTAGAGACAACAAAGGAAGATAACTTCTGGCCACTATTCAAGATTGTCATGAGTGAGTTCACACACACACAATTTGTTAAATGTAAAATGACACTAACCAAACAAAACAATGCAATAATTATAACCTCTACTTACTACACTTCTAGTCATTCTTCATTATCAGTTTTGAGGTATATTTTCAGTTTGCAGGAATTTTGGTGATACAGTATTTGTTTTAACACTAGCTAACATGAAAAGAGAATCCCAGGTTCCAAAGAGTTTACTAATCTACATATTTCACCTTGGCTGCATTCTAACCACATGGAAACATTTTTGTTTAATATAAAGTTTCATTCATCAGGTCATTCTTACTGGTTTGAGTATAGTCTCATAATTTTTAGAGCTACATAGGTGATTCTAAAAAAAAGCACTAAAACTAATACCTACAGTTCCAACATGATAAGGATAATTTCATAACCATGTATCGAACTATTGACACAGAATTGTTTATTATTTCTGGAACACTTAATATCAGAATGGAATCTACACTTAAAAACTCTTAAGGAGATGATTAAATATGGAGAATTATCAGGTCTTGTCCCAGACCTAAAAATAAGAATCTGCATTTTAACAAGATCTCCAGGGGTTAGAAAGATGGCTCAGTGAATAACAGTATACCGCTGCTCTTCCAATGGACCCAATTCAATTCCAGCACCCGTATCAGATGGCTCACAACCACCTAAAGATCCAACTCCAGAGAATCCAACTACTCTTCTGGCTCCTTGGCACACATGCACATAATTAAGGATCTCCAGGTGACATGTGAGAACAATACAATTCAAGAAGTTTCCTTGACAGATGTCTCAGGGTTGCTGTAACTGTGATGAAACAGCACACCAAAAGCAACTTGAGGAGGAAGGGGTTTATTTGGTTGTTCACATGTCCCATATCATAGTCCATTGAGGGAAGTCAAGGCAGAAACCAAACTGGGCAAGAACCTGCAGGCAGGAGCTGATGCATAGTCCAGGCAAGCATGAAATTAATTAAGAAAATGCCTCACACTTTTACCCACAGCCCAATCTTATGGAGGTATTTTCTCAATTAAGATTCCCTCCTCTCAGATGACTCTTATCTTGTGTCAAGCTTACAAAAAACAAAAACAAAAACAAAACAAAAAAAAAAAAAAAAAAAAAAAAAACCAGCACACATGGTAGTGTGTGCCTGTATCCCCACACACAGGTATGAAGATAAGGAATATAAGGTTATCCTTAGCTAACCATCAACTTCTGGGCCAGCCAAGGCCTACATGACACCCTGTCTCAAAGGAACATTTTTTTAAATTCATTATGAAAAATCTGATAAAATGCAGTATCAATCCTAACCATTATTCTGAGCACTGGATTGTAGCAGGAAAATGTTAGAGTCGTCCTACCGTAAGAAGGAGCGCTCTAGCCTTCACCCTGCTTACTACTTCTTTATTGTGTGCTTCCCTGGAAGGGACAGCAGTTAACCAACTCTCTAATCCCAAATGTTCTGGAAGGGACAGCAGTTAACTAACTCTCTAATCCCAAATTTCCTGACCTTTGGCAAATCAGTCAACCTTTCTGTGTTCAGTTTCTTCATCTGTTAAAGACAAAATGAATACCTCTATTTCATCAAGTTACCGCGATGATTAAGCACAGTAATTCAAGTGCCTGGGTTTAAGATGTGCACAAGTATAAGCAGCCGGCTCTTCTGTTCCTGCTGCTTCCCTTTCTTCCAATAATCTATATCCTTCTCAAGCATTTCTTCAACACTTTCCAATATCCTATATACTACTGACCCCTTCTAAGCAAGTCTTGAGTAAATTCTTCAAATATTCCATTTATTCAAGTCAAGCAATTCAGTCTGGCTCCTGGATCTTCAAAGATAAATGAAATATAGTACTTTCCTTAAAGACTCATGCTAGTAGTAGATACAACCCAAAAAAAAAAAAAAAAAAAAAAAGTGATAATTCCTGCAGAAAAAAAAAAAGGGGGGGGGCACTAGTTTGTCTTAAAAGCCCACGTTACTTGCCTTGCCACAATGAAATTAGAACACAGGAGTGTACAAGAGTAATTCTCTTTCTGCCTAGTGCTTCCATGAGTTTTCTCAACTAGAGACAGATCAGAACTCTGCTAGGTTGAGGAACATAACTTGAAAGGGAAATGCCAAGAGGTGAGCCCAGAAAGCCAGAAAGTGCACGGCCAGCTGCCAGAAAAGAGGGGAGGAGACGAGAAGCAAAGCCCCAGAAAAGAGGGGAGGAGACGAGAAGCAAAGCCCCAGAAAAGAGGGAGGCTACAGAGAGCAGGCCACGGGAGCTGCCAGACATACGGATTTGACAAAAAAGTCCTACGGCGCAGGTTTGTAAGCACCAAAGGTAGGAAAAAACAACAACAACAACAACAACAAAAAAAACAAACAAAAAAACAGATTTAAAGATTACATGGTCACTGGGGGCTGGAGAGCTCAGTACTCACAACAATTTACAACTCTGCACATACAGGCATACGCACACACATTAACTCAGTAAAGCTTTCTTATTTGCCATGACTAAATTAGTTTTTTTAATATAACAATCCACAGTGCCAGTGCACATTTTATTTAAATAATTTGGCTCATTAACAAAACTGCAATCCACCTTTAAGCCCAGCATTTGAGGAGGGGGTAGGCAGATTAAAGGCCTGTCTGGTCCACAGAGTATGTTCCAGGATAGTTACAGGTACATGGAGAAAACCCTGACTCAAAAAACAAAACAACCAGTTGTGTAAAGTGATATAATTTCATATCTCACCTTATACCTAGCAATCACTTACTGTTGGCCTTAAGCAAGGATTTATCAGTAGGTAACAGAGATTAATGATACATTTTTATATAAGTTATAATTTACTTTTTTCTTTGTTGGCTTAGTAATTTCCCAAGACTGTCCCAAACCAGTTTATTTATATAAACATTACCCTGTGAAAAATCTTGAGACTTTTTTTAAAATACGTAATTTTGTTGGACAGTGGTGGCACACACCTTTAATCCCAGCACTTGGCAGGCAGTTGCAGGTGGATCTTTGTTAGTTTGAGGCCAGCCTAGTCTACAAAGCGAGTTCTTGTACACCCAGGACTGTTATACAGCAAAAACCTGTCTTGGAAAAAACAAACAACAAAAAACAAAACTCATGATATATAATCTGGCTATACTCACTTAGAAGTTTCACAATGAATACTTCCATAATAAAGATTGAAATGTCTGTCTGTAAATACATATAATATGTTAAGTACAGAATTTCCCAAAGTTACTTGCTACAGTATCAGTATCATTTTTCCCTTAACATATTACAGAAATGTCATTAAGGAAGAGGTAAAAAAAAGAAGAGCTCGCATTTGATTTCAAATCTTCCCTCTGCTTTTCACTGTAGTCTTATGACTTAATGTAACCTGCAAAGCCCTCAGTATTCTAATGTTCAGTCTTATAAGAAGGCAGCTTTAATGGGTGCTAGTGTTGCTCAGTCATGCTAGACTAAGCTAGATTTGCTTAGTCATGTCTGACGTTTCCTAGTGCCTGCCACAAAGGAAATAAATATTTGTTCATGGTTACTTTATCTTTGGGCCACTATCAAATTCATTTTTACTTTGAATCTCAAGTAGCTGAAGCTGGCCTTGAATTTCCGATCCTCCTGCCTCTATCTCTACTAGGATCGTAGGCATGCACTACCACACCCAATTTTCATGCCTTCTTTTATTATGTTGCCCTATTTGAAATAAAAATTTTCCTTTGAAATATTGATGGTGACAGGAACCCTTGCCCAGCACAGAGACCCAAGGTTTGATTCCAAGCATCAGAAAAACAAACAAATATATTGGCAAATACTACTAAAAACAATCTGAAAGATGTTTGATGTTTAATTCAAAGGTTGCAATTTTTTCTAATTGATAGTGTTTGCTACTTGACAAGTCATATGATTTAAGAAATGGTCCGATTGGGCCTAGCAAAGAGATCAGTGGCAGTGAGGCCTGATGGTCTGAGTTTAATTCCTGAAGCTGTCACACTTGCACAATGGCATTTGTCACACACACGAAAATAAATGTGGAGAAAAAAAAAACAAAAACCAAAGAACTGATTGAGCTTTCCACGACTGAACTGTGAGTCCCCTAAGTTTATACATGGAAGCCTTAACCCACAATATGATGTGTCTGTAATTGCCTCCACAGATGCATTAAAGTTCTTACAGGAAACCCTACGCTAATACACATGGTGTCATGCCAATGTCATGTTTTATAGAGGAATGCATTGCAACACAAAAGTCTCCTGTGACACAGAAAATGTGTAAGGCCTAAGGAAAAACTTCAATACTTCAATCCTTGACAGAACTCTCCAGAATTCTGAGGAAAAATTTCTGCTTATGTCACCCAGTATGATATGTTGTTATAACTCTAGAAGACAAACACATAACCTTATATATTGGAAATATTCCTCTTACCTTGATATGCATATCTCTCTAACTTGCTGAGGTGTCAGAGCAAAAATAAAAAACTTCTCTTGAAACCGTTGAATACTGCTTTGAACTGAGGAGGAAAAAAAAAAAAAAAAAAAAAAGTCATTCAATAAGTCAAAAAGTCAACAAATAAGCACCCAAAATAACCAGGACCTTCTGACAGAAAAGTATTTGCTAAACCCTGAAATGTTCAAGTTTAAATTTCATACTCTAAACTCCAGTGTTTTGTATGGTTGCATTCATATTCGATTCTGAGTAGTTATCCAAATGAGCTCTACTTTAAATACTTAACCATTTAATATTCTAAAACATTGACTATACTGTGATGTCAGAATAAATGAAACCACTCAGGATGACATTTCACTCTGGTATCTCACATCAGAAACATTCATTTGCAGTAATGCAATCCAATCCAAGAAACAGATGTTTTTAGAGTATTTGTTGTTTCTTTATATGGCACTTTAATTTCTCAGAGCACAGAAAAGAAAATCTAAATTTTCAGAACTTTAGGTAAATCTGATAAACAGTAATTACTACTTATAAAAAATGACCTAGTTAAAAAGGATTAGCTGGTAAAGTCATCCTGTTTATAATTATTAAGAGCTGAAATGTCCTGATAATGTCACGAAACACTGTAACACATTAACACTGATGAATTAGTCAATAATGTTCATTATAGACATGGTGGCACAGGCCTGTAATCTTAGCACTCACGAGGCTCATCAAGGCAAGGGGGTCATGAGTTCAGAGCCAACCTGGACTATATTAGGAGTTCAATGCTACAGAGGCCCTGTCTCAAAAAGTAACAGAGCCCACTGACACACAAGGAGAGAGAACAGACCATAAAATACTGCACCATCACCCAAGACCAAGCAAAAGTAACTTCTGTACATTATTCTGTACTTATCCCAGATCATGAACAAGATAGTAACTAAATGTCTAATGTCAAAAGGCCCTCTTCGTCAGTCATGAAAATCATGAAAACGACCAACTCCTTGAGTAAAAAGTATGATCACTATTTCAGAAATAATGCTAGTTCATACTGTCTCAGACTATCTCTAAAGTGAGGAGAGGGAGAGGGGCTATTTTAGATGAAGAGCTAACAAGAAGCAGTTTTCCATCGCATGACAACTACAGGACGGCCACAGCCCCTGCTTGCTCCTTCACCCCTTTCCCCGTGTGTGACAGGTCCCACTTGCTCTACTGTCAAACGTGACACAGCAGCCCACACATGAGACTGCAGGCGCCCTGAGTGGTGAGGGCATAGCTCAGCACCACAATCACTGCCCAGGATGCACAAGACCATAGCTCAGCATCAGCACCACAATCACTGCCCAGGATGCACAAGACCATAGCTCAGCATCAGCACCACAATCACTGCCCAGGATGCACAAGACCATAGCTCAGCACCACAATCACTGCCCAGGATGCACAAGACCATAACCATAATCACAACAGCAACCAAGCCACCCACTGAACACATACAGGGTTTTTAATCTCGTTTAATAGCACTGCGTTTCACTAGCCAAGTACAGTGTGCCCAAAAAATAACCAAGTAAAAAATGACACACATACACAAAGCTGACATAAAAGTCTAAATATCTTTTTCTCTCAATTAATATGGGACCGCTTTTCATGACTTTATGACTTTCATAAACCAAATGTGAAACACATGTGTAAGCCTTCTGAAAACATATACAGGCATATTGAGGGAGGGAGGGAGGAAGGGGGGGAGGGAGGAAGGGAGAAGAGGAATCTCCAAAGATGGTTCAGTAGTGAAGAATGCTAGTCTCACAAAGGACCAAAGCTATAGACTTTGAACACATACATCCTGTGGCTGGCATCTCCCTATGTAACTCCAGCTCCAGAAGGTCCAACACATACTTTGGATTTTGAGGATAGATAACTGCATATACTCAAAAAAATTAAAATTTGAGCCAGACATGATGGCGCACACCTTGAATACTAGCACTCAGAAGGCAGAGGCAAACAGATCTCTTTGACTTCAAGGCCAGCCTGTAATACATGGCAACTATCAAGTTAGCCAGGGTTACACAGCGAGACTGTCTCAAAATAAGTAAAATAAATGAAATATTTCAAGGAAAAAAAGCTCTAGTCTGATACAAGCATTTTGCCACCTACTTGATAATAATGATTCTATCTTGGTAAAACATTTAGGTTAAAAGTTAGTATTTTAGCATACCTTATTAAATAGTCTAAATAAAATTTGAAGTCTGTTAGTTAAGCCATCCCTTCCATTCCCTGGAAGTATTATATTGACATCCTGTATTGGGCTTGCTTGTATTTTGGGCAAGATTGCTCTCTAGAAGTTGTACTCAGGTTGGGAGTGGTTTATAAAGAGACATAATAATTAGTCTCATCAGGAACTGGAGAATTGGCTAATTGGTTAAGAGCACAAGCCGTTCTTCCAGAGGACTGGGGTTAAATTCTCAGCACCTACAAGGAGGTTCAACCATCTATAACTACAATTCCAGGAGATCTAATGGCGAATACAGATCTAATGGAGTATACAGGCATATAAAGATAAACAATTATATACATTTAAAAAAATTATTTTAAAGTTTGGTAGGTAGATTTGTAGCTCTGTTTAGCAGACCTGCTAATAAAGTTAATAGTGAGTGGGCTATTTTATTAAGCTGTATCATCTAAGACTGCTTGGTTTCCATCCCCCATCAATCATTGCACTGTCCTCTAAAAACACTCTTCTTTTACTCCTTATTACATTGTATCTCTGAATCAAAAGTAAATGGGTGCTAAGAAGCAGAAGTGGAAAGGTCCTCCTAAAATTCAACAATAAAACCAAAGTAACCCAATTCAAATCAGGCAAAGGATTTGAAAAGGCATCTCTCCAAACAAAATACATAATGGCTAATAACAATCACATTAAAAATCCTCAATTTCCCCCACAGTTACAGAAATATAAGTTAAAACTCCAATTTAGTACTACTTTATACCCACTGGGTTGGCTACAATCCAAAATAAAGCATTCCCTCCAAAACCAGAACATTTTGGTAAGGATGGAAGAAATTTTCATGCAAATGTCTAAGTTCATGGCAATTTAAGATAGTACAGCTGTTGTGGAAACAGTATGGCAGCTGCTTAAAAATTAAAACCAATTACCGTATGATCCAACAATTCTACCTTGGATAGAGTACTTATAGTCATGTTCACAGAAGGATTAGTCACAACAGCAAAAATGGGAAAGCAACCCAGTGTCCACAGGCAGACACCAATGGATAAGTAAAAGACAGTATTATTAAAAGTTTAAGCAAGCAATTTTCACACAGAAATTTCAAAGATATGTACAGTTTTTTATGACGGATGGACAATATTATTATTCCATATATGTGTATGAATATCAGATATACAGATGTACAATCAGAAATCTACCATGTGGGTTCTATACATCGGTTCAGGTCATAAGGCTCCACGGCAAACAAGTTTTACTCACTGAGCCACCCTATTCTCCATAATGTCCCCTATGTTTTTAATAGCATTAAAAATGGCAAGAAGCTACTTTTCTTGCAGAATTTAAACTGCAAAAACGTAAATAAATAAAGAGTAAAAGAGACCAAGCAGCCATCTTGGCCTGTCAACAATCAGACTATCACAACCCCATTAACCAGCCCTGTCTGACAGCTTCATCCTGAGGCATCAAAGATACACGGTGCCACCCACCCACCCATACACAATAGAAATGTAGTAAGAAATTGTAACGTTTATCAAATATTCTTTCCCACTTCAGGAAAAATTATGTATAAGGTTTATTTTTTTAAGATTAATTCTTTTATTTATGTGTATTAAGCTTGTGTGGGGTATAACAGTGTACAGCTCTCTGGAGCTGCAGTACAGCTACTATGAACCACCATCCTACAGACGCTAGAAGCTGAACCGGGTCTTCTGCAAGAGTAGTACTTACTGTTACCCACTGAGTCAGCTCTTCAGCCCCAAGAGGTTTACTTGTTAGGAAAGAATCTTAGAGCTATGTTACACAAAGCCTAGGAATCTAACACGATCAAAACATGATACAGACATGAAGGCCTAAGTCCTTCCCTTCATACAATAGCAATCTGAGTCCTTAAGACATAAAAAGGCAAAACAAAACAAACAAACGTTAGCATAAGCTATATTGGTTTTCATACCCTTCTCTATCCCTCTGCTACTCATACATAACTCTTAAAGATCAGAAGCGCTTGGTAGTGACAGAGCACTAATAAATAGTTGTAGGCTGTTTTACTCTCTTCTAAAAACTTTTCTCATTAGAAATTAATTTTTCTCAATACTTACCTAAACTTGTAGGCTTGATGAGAACATCAAGGACATCATAAAAGGGGAGGTTTTTTAATTGCACATCAGGATGGACAGGAGGAATGGGAGGAGAAGGCTGCTGCATCTCAAATGTGGGCTTACTGTCCTGAAGCAGCACAGAACCAACAGGAGATGATGGTGAGTGAGGTGTAATTGAAGTGGAAGGCAACGAGTGGATCCCAGCCACAGGCAAGTCAGGTTCCACTGGTGAAGAACTACCATCCAAACTGAAAACCGATGATTTGATTGTGGATAGATCACAAAGTCCTTCAAGTGTCCGTGGGTATCGGCGTCGATATAATTCTCGAATTTTAATCTGAACCGCAGGGCTGCAGCCACTCTTCAGTAAATGCAACGCCCTCATCAGGAGGTCATGCTTACGCCCACTTTTATTCCGTCCAGCAAAGCCTAGTAACACTTGTAATTCAGAAACCCTAAAACTAGAAACCATATTCTAAAAAGGAAAAGAAAAAAAAGGACGAATCATCATCAAGCATATTAAAAAAAAAATTACTACCTAAATAGTAATATAAAATCAGATTTTTTCCTGATACTAATCAGTAATTACATATACCACACCACCTAGAACATTAATATTCAAAAAGCTATCTCTGAATATCTTGAAACTTCCATTTGAGTTTGTTGTTAAATCAGATTTTGCTTTTCCTCTTCATTTTGGTTCTTATTAACCACCTGATTGTCAGATTATGCACTAACATAAATCACTGTTTGCTTCTTCACTATGAACTCTTTAACCAATGAATATATTCTTTTTCTGAAACCAAGACCTTCTAATATAAAACACAGCACTGTGGTGATAACAAGATATAAGCAGGGAGAAACAAGAACTCACTCTCTTGTCTGCCCAGATGCCAAGGAGGTAAGGTGTGCTATGGCTTGCTCCTTCTCTCTGATCTCTCAACATTTTGCTCTATACCTGACTCTGGGTTTTTATTACTGAGACCAATTAAGAACTCCATTTACACAGTATTTGTTATAAAATTGTCACTAATTAAATAAACAAGTTGGATTTTGATGTCATGTGTATAACTTCTAGTAGAATTACAAAATCCAGTTGTAATTGTTATCCAAAACCAATGTATTTTTAACCCATACTCAAACAGGAAGGAACAGACTAAGCCAGGCTGATGACACACGCTTTTAATCCCAGCGCTTGGGAAGCAGAAGCAGGTGGATCTCTGTGAATTCAAGGCCTGCCTGATCTACACAAAGCTAGTTCCAGGATAGCCAAGGCTACACACAGAAACCAGATAGGGATCCCCATGACAAAGTACAGATACCACCAAAGTCCTACTTGGTGAACCAATGAGTTTTATTGGTTACCTACAGAAGTATGGGTTAGGGGTTGCTTCAGGAGCAGAAATGATTCAAAGACAGCTGTATCACCAAGGCCCATGACTGGTGGTGGTAAGCAGACTAACATGGGTACTGGGAACCAAATCCAGGTCCTTGATTGGAGCAGCAAGCACTCTTAATCGTCTCTCCAGCCCTTATGTAGTATTAAAAATAACAATAAACCCAGAAAGAACTGCTTGGTGAGTCTCAGAGATTAAGGTTTAGGAGTTAATGAGTAAGAAAGAACTAGGTGTGGCTAGAACACCATATGTGACATACCTTTGTTTTTTGGAGGAATTTTTTTTGGGGGGGGGGTATTGTCATTGTTGTTTTTGGTTTTGTGTAACAGCCTCTGTCTCCAGACTGCTGGGATTAAAGGCACATGCCACCACTGACCAGCCGGTGAGGTATCTTTGTAAAGGATAAAAGAACAGCTCTTACCAACAATTGGTTTATATGGTGTGTCTATGCCAACTGTAATACATTCAGGTTGTGCAAGCTGTTACCAATGAGTGAACATACTGCATAAACATTACATGGGTACTGGGAATCCAGCTGTGTAGATAGAGTCATAGCAGATTTAAAGCTACCCTATGATTCATGAGACACCATCTCCAAGAAAATATACAACCTAGGCAGTGGGATCAAAGGCTTGTGATCCCAGCACTCAGGAGGCAATGGAAGGAAGTTCTCAGTGAACTTGAGGCTAGCCTGGTCTACAGAGCTAGTTTTAGGATAACCAAGGCTACACAGAGAAACCCTGTATCAGAAAAACAAAACAAAACCAAAAAAAAAAAAAAAAAAAAAAAAAAAAGGGAGTAGGGTGGGACCAGAGACTGGTTACCTAGTTTAATTCCTAGATTCTTGTGGAATCGAGGAAGGAGAGAGATGCCACAAAAGCCCAGTAGTATATATACATCAAAAGCACTGTAACTCACACTCTCACTCTCTCTCTCTCTCATAAATTTTTCAAATGTACTTAGAAAGTACTTTCTTCCAAAATCAAGTGAATAATTATATTCAAAACAAAACCTAAACTTACAAAGACTAATACTAGCACCCCAAATTTAAATCTTTCACTAGTATACCCATGAGAATTTTACATTAAAATAGGACTGGAGGTTTGGCTTGATGGTTGAGGACTTACTTGCTTTAGAATAGATCCTAGGTTCAATCTCCAGCACAATGAAAATAAACACACACACATACACACACAAAGAGGTATGGGGGATTTTAAAATTCAAGCAAAATTAATTACTGTGGTGGTTTAAAAGAAAATGGCCCCCAAAGGAGGTGGCACTATTAGGAGAGGTGGCCTGGGAGAAAAGTTGTCACTGTGAGGGAAGGCTCTGAGGTCCCACATACTCAGGACCACAGATCCCAGCCAAAATTCCAATATCCAGCAAAACTTTCATCCACATGAAAGGAGAAAACAAGGTAGTCTATAACAAAACCAAATTTAAACACTATCTATTCACAAATCCAGCCCTATAGAAGGTACTAAAAGGAAAACTCCAATCCAAGAAGATTAAACACATGGAAGCAGAGTAAATAATCTTGACCAGCAAAAAAAAAAAGAAGTGCATGTGTATAAACATGAACGCACGCACGCGCGCACACACACACACCACACCACCACCTCCACCCACCGTCAAAAAAACAGGAATTAATAATCACTGATCACTGATACTTCTCATATCAACGGACTCAGTAAAAAGACACAGACTAACAGAATGGATGCAAAAAACAAGACCCATTCTTCCACTGCATATAAGAAACACCTCAATATCCACGGTAAGTAAACATTACTTCAGAGTAAAGTGTTAGCAAAAGATTTTCCAATCAAAATGACCTGAAAAACAAGCTGGAGTAGCTATTCTAGTATCTAACAAAATAGACTTCAAACCAAATCAAGAAGGATGGGGACACTTCATACTCGAAGGAAAAATCCACCAAGATGATATGTCAACTCCTAATATCTATGTTCCAAACACAAGGACATCTACCTTTGCAAAAGAAACATTACTAAATCTTAAATCACACACTGATAGTGGGAGACTTCAATACCCCACTCTCACCAACAGACAGGTCACCCAGACAAAAAATAAACAGAAAGCAGACCTTATAAATCAAATGGACCAAACAGAAATTTACAGAACATTTCACCCAAACACAAAAGAATACACATTCTTCTCAGCACCTCATAGAAGTCTCTCCAAAACTGACCACATGTGCAATCACAAAGCAGTTCTCAACAGATATAATAAAACTGAAATGGCCCCCTACATCCTATCAGAACACCATGGATTGAAGCTGGATTTCAACAACATAAAGCTTAAAAAACCATGAAAATCGAACAACTTCCTACTGAAAGACTACTGGTCAAGGCACAAATAAAGAGATATTAAGACTTCCTAGAATTCAATGAAAATGAATGCACAACATATCTAAACTTAAAGGACACAATGAAAGTAGTACTAAGAGGAAGGTTCATAGCACTAAGTACATTCACAAAGGAATTACAGTGATCGCATGCTAACTAGCAACCTAACATCACTCCTGAAAGGGGGAAAAAAAGGAACACCTAAGAGAAGTAGACTACAGAAAATAAACTGGGGGTAAAAATCAATCATAGAAACAAAGACAATAATACAAAGAGTTGGTTCTTTCCCTTACCCCAACCAACTTAAAGAGGAAGAGAAAATATCCAAATTAACAAAATCAGAAACGAGAAAAGGGAAATACAACAAGAGACACTTAAGAAATCTAAAGAATCATTGGGTATTACTTCAAAATCCTCTACTGCAACAGGCAATGGTAACTTATGCCTTTAATTCCAGCATTCAGAAGGTAGAGGCAGGAAGATCTCTGAGTTCTAGACCAGCCTGGTTTATACAAAGAAAACCTGTCTTAAGGAAAAAAAGAAAAGAAAAAAGAAAAAAAAGAGGAAAGAAAAGAAAACCACAACCCATACTCCACAAAATTGGAAAATTGTCAAAGAAATGATAATTTTCTTGATAAATACCACTTAGCAAATTTAAGTCAAGATCAGGTAAACAATTCAAATAGATCTATAACCCATGAGGTAATGGAGGCATTAAAAGTCTCCCAAGCAAAACCCACAGAAACAGCTGACCTGAGCAAGTGGGAGCTGGGGAACCAGCCTAAGACCAAACCAGGCCCCATGATGTGGGTGTCAGCTGGGGAACCTGGGCAGTGTATGAGGCCTCTGGTAGTGGAACCAGTATTTATCCCTAGTGCACGAATGGGCTTTGGGAGCCCATTCCCTACGGAGAAATACTCTCTCTGCCTAGATACATAGGGGAGGGCCTAGGTCCTGTGCCAAATGATATGATGATCCCCCATGGGAGACCTCACCCTCCCTGAGGAGTGGATAGAGGGTGGGGTGGGGAGTTGGTGGGGGGAAATAAAAGAACAGGAGGGAGAGGGAATTGGGATTGGTATGTAAAGTAAGATTGTTTTTAATTTAAAAAAAAAAAAAGGCTCCAAAGCAAAAAAAAGCCCAGGGCCAAACAGTTTTAGCAAAGAACTGTACCAGACTTTACCAGAGCTAATACTAATATTCCTCAAATTACTCCACACAACAGAAAAAGAAGGAAAATTGCCAAATTCATTTTATGAGACTACAGTCACCCTGATAGCCAACACACACAAAGATTCAACAAAGAGGATTACAGACCAATTTCCCTCATGAACATTAACGCAAAAATAATAAAATACTACCCAAATGAATCCAAGAACACATCAAAAAGTACATCCACCATGATCAAGTGGGCTTCATTCCAGAGATGGACAGTTCAACATAGGAAAATCTGTCAATGTAATCCACCATATAAACAAACTGAAAGAAAGCCACAAGAGCATTTCATTGGATGCTGAAAAAGCCTTTGACAAAAATCCAACACCCTTTCATGACAAGTCTTGGAAAGAGTAAGGATACAAGGGACATACATACATACCTCAATATAATAAAAGCAATTTACAGCAAGCCTATAGCCAACATGAAATTAAATGGAGAAAAACTCAAAGCAATCCCACTAAAAGCAGAAATGGCATGGCTGTCCACTCTCTCCATTTCTACACAGTACGTGAAGCTCTATCTCGGTAGAGCAAAGATAATTAAAGAGATCAAGGAGATACACATTGGAAAGAAATCAAAATACTGCTATTTACAAATGATATGATAGTATATGTAAACAACCCCCAAAGTTCTGAGGGACTGCAGCTGATAAACACTTCAGCAAAGTCTATGAATATGAAGTTAACTGCAAAAATCAGTAGCCCTCCTATAAACAAATGAGAAATGGGCTGAGAAAGAAATTGGGGAAATGCCCTTAACAACAGCCACAAACAATAATATATGTTGGGGTAACTCTAACCAAGCAAGCAAAAGATTTGTAAGATAAAAACTAAGTCTTTGAAGAAAGAAATCGAAGACATCAGAAGATGGAACAATCTCCCATACTCATGGGTCAGTAGGATCAAAATAGTAAAAACGCCCATCCTACCAAAAGCAATCTGCAGATTCAACACAATCCTCATCAAAATTTCAACACAACTATTTATAGACCTTGAAAAGATAATACTAAACTTCATATGAAAAAAGAAAAAACAGGATAGCTAAAACAATCTGTACAATAAAAGAATTTCTTTCTGGAGGTATCACCATCCCTGAATTCAAGCTATACTACAAAGCTATAATAAAAATAAAAATTAAAAAAAAAAAAAGGCATGGTATTGGCATAAAGACTCTTTGGTCAATGGAATTTATTCAGAGACCCAGACATGAATCCACAAACCAAAGGACACCTGATCTTAGATAAAGAAGCAAGAAATAAACAATGAAAAAAAGAAAAACACCTTCAACAAATAGTGTTGGTCAAACTGGATATCTGCATGTAGAAGAATGCATACAGATCCATATCCATCATCCTGGATAAGACATCCAACATAATATCAGATACACAGAACCTGCTAAAAGAGAAAGTGGGGAATAGCCTTGAACACACTGGCACAGGCGACAATTTCCTGAACAGAACACTGATAGAATAGGCACTAAGATCAACAATCAATTAATGGAACATCATGAAACTGAAACACCGTCAATACGACAAAATAGCAGCTACAGAATGGAAAAAGATTTTCACAAACTCCACATCAGATAGAGGGCGAATACTCAAAATACATAAAGAAACTAGACATCAAGAAAACAAATAACCCTATTTTTAAATGGGTACTGGGACTGTAGAGCTGGCACAACGGTTAAGAGTACTGGCTGCTCTTCCACAGGACCCCAGCTCTATTCTGAACACCCACATGGCAGCTCACAACCGTCTGTAATCCAGTTCTAAAGGATCACACAGCTTACACAGACATACATGTAGCCTGAACACCAATGCACATAAAATAAAAATAAATATTTTTAATGGAAAATAAATCTAAATAGAGAATTCTCAATAAAGAAAACCAAAATGTTTGAGAAACATTTAGAAATGTTCAACATCCATAGCCATCAGGGAAATGCAACTCTAAACTACTCTGAGATTCTATCTTAAAGACACTTGTCAGAATGGCAAGGATGGGGAACAAGGGGAACTCTCCTCCATTGCTGGTAGGAGTACAAGCTCATACAACCACTGTGGAAATATCAATATGGCAGTTTCTCAAAAAAACTGGGAATCAAACTACCTCAAGACCCAACTATATCACTCTTCAGCATATATCCATATATCCAAAGGACGCTCCATCCTATCACAAAGACAAGTGCTTAGCAGCTCTGTTCATTTATTTTTATTCCCCCCCCCCTTTTTTTTTCTTCTTTTTAGTTTTTCAAGACAGGATATCTCTGTCTAGCTTTGAAGCCTGCCCTGGAACTTACTCTGTAGACCAGATTGGTCTCGAACTCACAGAGCTCAGTCTGCCTCTGCCTCCCAATTAAAGATGGGCATCTTTATTCATAGCAACCAGAAACTGGAAACACTGTAGATGTCTCTCAACAGAAGAATGATTTACACGATGCTCAGCTCAACAATCATGACATCATTAAATGTGTAGGCAAATGGACGGAATTAGAAAAATCATCCTGAGTGGGTAACCCAAACCCAAACAAGAAAAACATGATATGTACTCACTTATAAGATGACATAAGCTGTTAAGTCAATGGCAATCATGTTATAATACTGACCCACACAGGTTAAGTAACAAGGAAGGCTCTAAGAAGGGGAAGCATGAATCTCTCTGGAAAAGAAAAACAATGGATTTTGTGGGAAGACTGGGAACAGGAGGGATAGGGTAGATGGGAAGGAGACACAACTGAACTGGAAGGTATCTGGTAGTGGTTGTGGTGGACTGAGATGAAAACTTAGAACAGTAGAAACTCTCAGTATTCTACAAGGGTGACCCTAGCAAGGACTTCTAATAATGGAGGATTCAGAGCCTCCACTGGCCATCCTCTGTAACCAGGCAAGGCTTCCAGAGATAGATATGAGACACCAAGTAAGCCACAAAATCTTCAACCCATATCTATCCCACTCACAAGATGTACTAGGAAAATGGATACACTTAACTTTGGGGAGTGACCAACCAATAATCAAACTGCACATACCTAAAGAGGGAGTGTACGCCCAACACTGACAGGGGAGGCTGTATAGCTCAGAGATCTATCATTCAACTGGATGATTTCTAACAATATCCTTACACACTCATATTGGTGTCTAGCCAATCATCATTGAAAAGACTACCTCTGGCAGCTGATGGAAGCAGATGAAGAGACCACAGCCAAACATTAGGAGAGCCCAAATTGAAGATCTCCATCAGGTCCCTCCCCTTGGAGCTCAGAGAACCCTGTAGAAGAGGGAAAGGAAGAAATGTAGGAGCCAGAGGGGTCAAGGATACCAGGAGAACATGGCCCAAAGACTTCAACTAAGTAGGACTCATAGCAGCCCTCAGAAACTGAACTGGCAACCACAAGCCTGTGCTAGATAGATATTCTGCATATATGTTATGGTTGTTAACTTGACATTTTTGTGGGACCCCTAATAGTGGGAATGGAGATGTCTCTGACTCTGTGTCTGCTCTTGAGACTCTTTAGCTCATACTGGACTTAATGCCTGTTATTAAAAACCATACTACTCTGGATGAAAGAACAGCTTCAGTAGTTTAAAAAAAAAAATTCATGAGAGACCATCCAACAAGTATTTTGGCAAACTTCTACACATGATCAAAGATCAAAGCTAAAAAATACAAATAAATGGCATTGAAATTGAGAGTCTGGTAGACACAAGTGCAGATGTACCAATTGTTTCACCAAAATCTTAGCATCCAGTTTGGCCAATTCAGGAGGGTAAATGTTCAGCTTCTAGGGAATGGAGCTTTATCTCAGGTTAAAAAAAAAAAAAAGTGTAAGATGGGTTGAATGTATAGGATCATAAGGACAGAGAGGAAAGTTAAAACCACATGTAGTTAACATAGCAATGGAAAACAGAGATTAACATTCATCTAAGCTCAGAAACAAACCATAAACATATGCTTCTGAGAAATATATTAAAAGGGATTATCAATAACAGTCACTGACTATTCAGGATGTACATAAGCAGCTGCTAATCTTTCAAAGGTGCCAATAGCCCTACCTTTAAAATGGTTAACTAACAAACTTGTGTGAGTAAAACAATGGCCTTTGACATTTGAGAAATTACAAGCAGCTAAATGTTCAACATATTGAAGAAATCAACCAGTCCTTGGATTTCTCCTATATTGGTTATTATAAAGAAATCTGGAAAAGGGAGAATGTTAACAAATTTGAGGACCAGAAAGAAATAGGGGACTGAGTCAGCGGGCTCCTTACAGTCAGCAAGTCCCTACCTTTTTTATTGCCTTCTTTTACTGATCGATCTATAAGCATGTTTTGCTTCTTTTTTTTTTTTAACTATACCTTTACAAGAACAGCATAGAAAAAAAATTGCCTTCTCAGTGCCTACTTATAATTCCCAGCCTGTTAAATGGTACCAGTGGAAGGTTATTTCACAAGGAATGGAGCACCCCCATCTTATTTCAATATTTTATAAAACAGCCACCTCTCCCAGGACTTGATAATTAACCAAAATTATTCTTTTCAGGATCCCCCAAAGATGATGTCACCCCCAGACAACAGGAAGTAAATTTAAGAACAAAATGGCACCGACAATTCAAAGAGATAGGACGGGTGTTTTTTGGTTGTTCAATGACTTATGGATATTTGTCATCCTTTGGTTACAAATTGTTATTGGCTATAGTCAGGAAGAAAGTTGAACAAAGGAGATTAGATTCAGCATTCTTGTTTTAAAAAGAAAAAAGGAGGATGTAGACGATAGGATATAAGGGTAGATTATTGAATCTACTCTGAAAAGAAATAAGAGGAATATAGTAATAGGATAAAATGGCAGATTGAATCTACTTTCAAACCAAAAAAGCAACTACTAGTTTTAAATATTTTACATTGGCTTGGATTTTCTATATACTGATAAAAGTTGAGATTATTTTTGTTAGAACATACTGTACATGTATTTCTAATCTCGTTCAAGGTATTGTACCTATGCAACAACACATTTAACAATGCAATGCAAAATTTTAGTCTTTGAAAGTTATTATTACCAACTATTTAGGATAATAAGGAAATTTAGGTTAGTAATCACCTATTACAATTGAACTTGTAGTCATATTAAGTATGTTTTCAAGGCCAAACATGTTTAGAAAGACAGGTTGTCTTCAAATACTTCAGTGATCCAAAGAATATGGAATTTAAGATATTTGAATAGTTTTTTTTTTTTATGATAATTGTAGTGCACCTACTACGATCTATTCCACGAATCGGGCAAAGGCCTAGAGTTTGAAATTTAGAGACAGGACAGTGGGTGATTCGTTCAATGCCAAATGCCTTTTATTGAGGAAATGGAGTGGGCTTACATACTGACTTACAGCACAGTGGAAAATAATAGGATTTTCAGGCTTAGCTCCTCCCTACCAGGTGTGTGTTAGCAAGACAGGAAGAGCACCAATGACAACTCCAGGGGGCAGGAAGAGCACCAATGACAACTCCAGGGGGCAGGAAGAGCACCAATGACAACTCCAGGGGGCAGGAAGAGCACCAATGACAACTCCAGGGGGCAAGGAAGAGTACCAAAAGCAGCTCTGGGGCAAGAAGTTCCGGTCAACAGCTTCCTGCTTGCTCAAGGTGCCTTGGGGGTCCATCCAGGGCCCTACAGATAATGAGATACATTTGCTCCTAGCAGCACCAATCTACTTCAGAGAAGATGATGGGCATCGAAGAAATTCCACATGGACTTTACTTTCTTTGTGGCAAAACTTAAGCAAGACCCCCTGAAACATTGGTCCAGGTGATCCAACATCCAAAACAGCTGAGAAGATACAGACTCAGATGACTACAGCCAGGGGTTATCCATGATGTTGGGTTTTCTCAGGATCCCCTTGGGATTGACAGCTCCCACAAACAGCAGGAAGCTGTTTGGAGGAAACTAAGCCCAAATTCCCGTTTATAAAATGTTTGTTTTCATTTAAGCAGAGTTGTTTATAAATAGTTAATGATCACAGTCAATCTCTTTCTAAAGAAAAAGGGAGTATGATATAGAAATTAATACTTTGTATTGATAGGGATTTTGGTTTGATACAAATTTAAGGTCCTTTGTTTAGGCATTGTGTTTATACAGCTCATTTAAAAATGTAATGTATAATTAAATATAGATTGTATCACCTATACAGTCATGTTAGTTTCCTAAATATACAAAGATATGAGATGGATATTCTTCAAACCTTTCAAAGAGTTATAGAATATGGCATTTAAATTGCTCCTGGCAACACTGATGGGCATCAAAGAAACTCATTATGGAGTTTGCCTTTGACATGGCAAGACTAGCCATTTGGGATCTTGCCTTGACTGTTTGTATGCTGAATAAACTGGACATGCAGGACCCATAGGAAACTGCTGAACTTGCCAAAAACAAGATGGGAAGGTCCTTCAGGGTTCCTGCTTCATGGAAGAGTCTGCCACACATTCTGAAGGACACAGAAAAATTACTGACAAACTGCCAATATAGGCGGGACAACTTCAAACTTCCTGCTTAGCTGAGAAGTCTGCCCAACACTCTAGGCCTATAGGCTGAAGATGGATGCCCCAACATTACAGAAGAACTTTGGGTGATTGTCCAGGCAAGACAGCTCTATCAATTCTAGAGTTTATATTTATCCTTCTGAGGTCTTTGATGTAATTAAAGACAGATAGTCACCACAACATGAAGAACCGTATATGAAAAGGGTCACAGCATAAGGAAGGTTGAGAACCACTGTTTTAGCTACAGCTCTAGTCTATGCCTCTCTGCTTCCCACAATGATGATAATGGACTAACTCAAACTGTAAGCAAGCCCTAATTAAATTTTTGTTTGTTTGTTTTTCAAGACAGGGTTTCTCTGTGGCTTTGGAGACTGTCCTTGAACTAGCTCTTGTAGACCAGGCTGGTCATACAGATCTGCCTGCCTCTGCCTCCCAGGTACTGGGATTAAATTAAAGGCATGTGCCACCACTGCCCAGCTAAGTAAATGTTTTCTAAGAGCTGCGGTGGTCATGGTGGCTCTTTAAAGCAACAGAACAGTAACTAAAACAATCTTATAACAAGTTAATTCACATCTAGCTAGATAATTCATAAACTAGCTGGCCATCCCTTCAATTATAACAAAGATGTTGTAAGTGAGCATCTAGAGAACCAAACAATCTCCCCAGAACATGAAAGCTTTTTCAAACAAGCTATATTATAGCTATCTTTGATGACAAAGGCTACCTCTTCCTTCTCCAAAATCTCCTTTCCTTTCTTCAACCCTTAGAATGGTTTCCTAAATCAGGTCTGTACAATGATTCCAATGCCCTGGCTCTAGTTTAGTGGATTCTAATCAGAGCTCTCTATTCATTATATTCTCTCTCAGAAGAACAGAAGAAAGCTAGACTGGTAATCTCCTAGTCACTTGGGACTGAAAGGCAAAACATTTTAGCTGCCATATTCTGTGGCCACATGTCTGTCACTAGCTCCTGTCCTTAAACAAAAAAAACAAAAAAGCTTGTCAGGTAACCCCTTAAGGCTCTGCAGCTGCCTTATCGAATGGCACCCTACCTCCCCACCCTTTTACCAAATCTAAAATATAAAAGGAGGGGGTAACTAAAACATACTGGGGAGGGGACAGTCTTTCCAGGTTAGACAGTACCAGTCACATGCAAATGCTATTGCTATACTGATCCTCAGCAGCTAAACTACAGTATACAAATCAGTCTACCATATCTCTTCCACTGCCAAGAAGATAACCAGAAAGCCAACGCCCCTAATTTTGCCTAATTAACTGTCATTCTGATGACCAGAATGTAATCTAAACCAGAAACCACCATCAGAGAAACATGGGTATTTCTATCCTTCTCTTTCTTTCCATGCTTTTGTTTTGTTTTTAGTTTGCTCTCCTGTTTTCCTTCCACTTTTATGTACAAAGGGGTAGTATTCATCATTTAATGTATCCTATAAATTTCAGGGTGATTAACTCCAAAGAACTCGAGGTTAACTGGTTAAAATTTCAGCATTTCTAGTCTCAAACTGTGATCTAGGTCAAAATTTAATCTATGTTTCATTTCCTCACAGAATTACAAGAATAACAATGTATATATGAAATATTTGAACCAGAGTTCAGCATGTATAGGGACATATTAAAATGGGGATGTGCCATCATTATCACTTTTTCCACTGAGAAGTAAACAAGTGTCTGCCTGCCCTAAGCAGCTCAGGCAAAAGATAGTGAATAATCTCCCAGCATCTACTCTGAATCATGGTCCTAAATAGTCTTATCAATAAAAGCCCAGAGTCAGATAACGGGTCAAATGCGGAAAGATGGGGTGCAAAGGAGCAGTCACTTGCACTTCTTACCTCTGCCAATCCTCAGACCATTAAGGGTGGAGAGCCCACCTACATCCAGTCTTATCACTTCCTGTCTGTCTGTACAGACCTCCGGACCTCTATGGTTAACTAGTGGCTAGTTCCACCTTCTGATCTCCAGGCAAGCTTTATTTATCAGAGCACATACAAAACATCACACAACACCACTAAGCCTGCAACCGTCCTTCCTGTCCTGTGAGAAGCTTCAGAGGCAAGGTCTCTAGTGATCATCTACAATAATTATCTTATACCGAGCACAAAGAGATTGCAAACACCGGGTGACTCAGGTGATGGGAAGGTGAAGCATATGCACAAATGCAAATGGAGAAAGAAAAGCAAAAAGGGATGCTTTGGTTCCCACCCTCTCAAGGTGTGGTCCCACTTCCATCTGAGTACTCCCACTTTCCCACCCTACATGATTAGGGTTAGTTTTGTTCACCTTAACCAGTGACACTTCTAAAAGTCTAACACAGCCAGGCAGTGGTGGCAAACCCTGCACTCCAGTGGCAGGCAGATCTCTGTGAGTTCCAGGTCAGCCTAGTCTACAGAGAGAGTTCCAGGACAGCCTCCAAAGCTGCACAGAGAAACCCTGTCTTGAAAAACAGAAACAAAAATTGGAAAACAACAATAATAAAAGTCTAAACCTAGAGAGGTCTCCACCAACCAAACTTCAGAAAACAAAAATTAAAAAGAAGAGGAAACATACATGTGTCACTATACAAAAGTTCAGGTTACATTGCAGGAGAAAATAACTGCAGTGTTCCGTTTACTGTAATGAGGCACAGTTGCGTGAGGAGCAGCGCTAAACACAGGGCAGATCAGGTTCAAATATGCGTTATAATCATGGCTCTCTGTGTGAACTGGTATGGGATACAACGTGTATTGTACTTTTTATTGGGAAAATGGTTCATTTCAGGAACAGGAGGGTACTGTGCAATCCCTCACAGTCATTCTTTTGTTGGTGTCCAACTGGGCAACATCCTTTCCCCACACAATAATGGTCTTACTAAGCAGAACAGCTTACTAGTTACCCCAGCTGACTGAAGTTCATCTAACTTCAAATCCAGACTTACACGCCTCTACTTTAAAACACAATTAAAAAAAAAATAAACATCAGGGTTTCTATCTGCGAACACCCCACATACGTCGTCGGTATTCCGGGGTCCAGCACAGCTCCTTTATCACAGCTGGTCTGCCTAGGGATAAGACCTCTGTGAATGTGGTGGAGAGAATAGAGTGTTTTTCCCTGTAACCTCCGAGCACCTCTCTCTTAGACCCCCGACTACAATAAAGTTATGACCTTGCTCCCACGCTAAGAAACAGGTTTTCCTCCAGAGGAGCCAAAAGGGGGTGCCCAACTCCATGACAACACGGGACTCTGAAGACCTCTTACCATGGTTACAAACCAAGTAAGTGGATGGGGGGGGGGGAGGCCGACTACGGAAGGCGGTGTTCCCAAAAGGGCGCGCTTCTCCCCACGCCGAGGAAGCCCTGGTGGGAGGAAGGGGCCTGATCTCGTGACAGACCCGGCTCGGACCCCAGCGGGGCGAGGGAAAATTCCTAAACGCAACTTCACGTTGCCCGGGGGGGGCGGCTTCTCGCAGCCAACGGCGGCCGCGCACACTGGGGGTCTCCGCCCGCGCCAGCCCACGGCCAGGTGTGCGGCGTGCGGCCCCGCCACCGCGGGCCAACCGCCCGCCCCGCCGCCCTCCCGCCGCCCCCTCCCGCCCCGCCGCCCCCCCTCCGCGCGAGGATGCGGCTCCGCCGACCGGCCGGCCGCACGGCCCGGCGCCGCCGCGCTGCTCCCGCCCCCCCGCCCTCCCCTCCCCCGCCCTGCGGCCTCCGCTCGCCACCGTCCCCCCCGCCCGCCCGCCCGCCCGCCCGCGACGCTCACCCTCAACTCCTCGAAATCCGCCATTTTATCCCGCCCGCGGGCGCCTCAGCCGTCGCCGCTCCTCCACCCGCTGCCGCCAACGACACCGCCGCCGCCTCCTGCAACATCCTGCACGGGGCGCCGCTCCAGACGCCGCGGCCGCCGCCGCCGCCGCCGCCGCCACCACCTCCGCCGCCGCCGGCCGTCACGTGACCCGCGCGGGAGCCCCGCCCCCGGCGCGCGCAGGCCCCCCGCCCCCCGAGCGCGTGCGCGTGCGCGCGCGGCCTTCCGCCCCCCTCCTCGGGGCGCCGCCCCCCCCGCCGCCGCCGCGCGCTTCCGGTGGCGGCCGGTCCTCTGTCGCTGCTCGAGCCTCGCCGGGCCCGCGCCTGCCGGCCGCTCCCCGCTCCCAGCTCCCCGGGAGCGCGGTCCGACCTGCGGCGGCCGCCTTCCCGGACTTGGAGGAAGGCCTTGGCCGAGGACGCGAGAGGCGACGGGGACGCACCGAGGCGCCCGGGAGCACCCCCGCTGTGCTCTTCCCAAGGTGGCCCAGAACGCAGGAAGCAGCCTCAACGCCAGCCATCCCCTGAGTAGCTGTAGTGGGATAATCCGAGTATGGGTCGTGGGAGGTGACGGGCATTGTTCCAAGCTACTGGTGCTCACAAACCCAAGGTGGGGGTGGGGGTGGGGGTGGGGGGTTGCTTGCTTGTTTGAGACTGGGTGTCACTCTGCAGCCCCAGGTTGGCGCTCCTGTTCACCACGCTGGTGTCTAGGGAGAAACACTTGCCTGAGCTTCTGGAGTGCTGGGGTTAAAGGTGTGTGCCGCCACACCCAGCTGGCCGCACAACAGCTTTTTGTTTATGACCTTAAAGTGTTCACCTTCACGGATTCTAACTGACCTTGAAGGGAATGCCAGTGCCCTGGACAAGAGAGTTGAACTGATTGTGGGGTGAGGTTAGGACAGAACGGGAGTAAGGGTGCCCCCAGAGAAGCCTGATGAAGTTGAAAGGTCCGGAAAAATCATGATAGCTGGGGGACAAATGAGGACGCGTGACATGGAAGGAAGATGGCTGGTGCTCCGGAACATGGTGGAAGGATGGGGGTGGGGGGCAGGAAGGAAGAAAAAAGACTGGGTATCTGTGCACTTGGGAGGCTGAAGCCGGAAGATCAGAAATTGTTATGTAGCCAGGTGGAGGCCAGCCCAGAGTAAATATAAGACTGAAAAAAAGAAAGAAACGATGAGTGACAACACAGAGTCAACTGGCTAAAGTGTTGGATCCATGGGCAAAGAATTCCTACTCTGTACATCTTGAGTCTCAGGTGTTAGCTCAGTGATAAGCTCCTGTCTCCAGCACAGGAAAACAAAACAAAAAAACTAAGCCCTAGGATGCCCCTTAAGTCCTTAGCCAGGAGCCAACTAAACTAAGTAAGGTGTTTGTGTGTAATAACTGAGCTTCAGTGAGTGGAATGGGTAGAGGCTCAAAAACAAAAGCTCCACCTTAGTCACTGCCCTGTTTCTAATTCACAGCACTTTTATTGCTGTGAGAAGACACCATGACCAAGGCAACACTTACAAAGGAAAGCGTGTAACTGGGAGCTTGCTTACAGCTTCAGAGGTTTAATCCATTATAGTTGCAGAGGTTTAGTCCATTATCATCATGGTGGGGAGCATGGACCATGTAGGCAGATGCTAGAGCAGTAGCCAAGAGCAATGTCCTGATCCACAGACACACACTCCAGGCTTACAATGGGCTTTTGAAAATCCAAAGCCCACTCCCATTGACACACTTCCTCCAATAAGGCCACATCTCTCAATCCTTCTAATCCTTTCAAATAGTGTCACTCCTAGTGACTAAACATTCAAATATATGAGCTGGGGTTTGAGGGGGGGTGTTATTCAAACCACCACATTGAACTCACTGGTCCCCATGGGCTTGTAGCCGTTTCATAATGAAAAATTCATTTAGTCCAACTTAAGAAGTGAGGAAATACTGGACCAAAGCAAACTCCAAATTCTGCATCTCCATGTCTGATGTCAAAGTCCTCTTCAGATCTCCAACTCCTTTCAGCCTTGTTGACTACAACGTACTTCCGCATCCTGTTAGCAGCTCTCCCATGACTGGTATCTCCAACCCCTTGGGGTTTGAAGACAATCCAGGCTTCATCTTCGCAGCTTCACACAATATCCTTTCTGGGCCTCCATGTAGGGACTCCCCAACATGTCTGTCTCAACAGCCTTCCTTGGCTCTCTCTAAAGCCAGAACCACATGCTAGAAGCTGCCCAGTCCTGCTGTTTGCTGGAACTGGAACTTGGCCCCCTACTACTTCAATTAAATTTTCACCAGCTTCCTGTTGCTGATGGTTTCCTTCGCTACTTAAGCTTTTCTTTCATTTCTTTCCATGAGTTGGAAGCTTATATGGGTGAGGTCACTACTTCCTTTATTTCATTTAGCACCAGGCTTTTCTTTAAACTTTGTCTCCTTGAGCACTGGACTTTGCTCCAGTATGCTTCCTGGTGCTTCTTTTCTCCCCAAACTATATTTGTATCTCTTTGTCCAGCTTCAGCAATTTCATCATTACAGACCTGCATAAGAATAATTAATAACCACAGGACAGAGTCAATATTAGGCTCTCTTGCAAGCTCCTCTGCCAAAGGCATTAATCCAAACTTTGATTTAGCTTCAGGCAGATTTTTAGGACAGGAAAAAAGAATTTAAATTCTTTGTTTAAAAGAAAAAGCCGATATTTTTTCCCTCTGAAACCTTTTGAGCTGGGCCATCAACCATAATCTATATTGTTCTCAGCGCCACTACCTTCCAGCCTCCTCCTAGGATGGCCTATAAGCCCCACCTAAAGCATTCAACTGCTTTCCTAATCCAAAGCCCGTTTTCTCACTATGAGCAGCATGGTGAGGACTAGCACAGCAATACCCCACTCCTGGTACAAATGTCTGTCTTTGTCAGGCACTTGCTGTGAAGAGACACTATGGTGAAGACAACTCTGATAATGGAAAGCGTTTGATTGGGAGCTTGCTTACATTTCCCGAAGGTTAGTCCATGATCATGTGGCATGGAGCATGGCAGCGTCCGGGCACTGCTGGAGCAGTAGCTGAGAGCGACATCCCGAGCCATAGGCCAGAGACAGACTTGAACCTGAAGCCCACCCCCAGTGACACACTTCTTCCAACAAGACCACACCTCCTAATCCTGGTCCTTTCAAATCGTGCGCTGCCTGGTGACTAAGCATTCAAATATGGGAGCCATTCAAACCACCAAGCTGTATCAGCTAAGATGCCTCCATAGTTCACTTCTGTTTGCTGCACCTGACTTCCAAATTCTGATAATTATGAAGCAAAGCCCTTACGATGTGGGCCTGGCCCATGTCTGTAATGCCACATGGCCTGGGAGGCAGAAAGACTCTCCAGCCTTCCTCATCTGTGCTTCCTAGCTAGCAAGGCCCTTGGCTCTATTTGGGTTTATTTTCTTTGGTTTGTTTGTTTGGGGCTGGGGAGTGTTGTTGACTTAAAGTTCTAGTCAATGATTAGACATGTGATCCCAGCTGCCTTTGGGCATTTCCAGGCTTGGCCTTTTAAATCAAGAATACCTTATGATTGGCAGGCCAGGGAAGTTGGGAGCATTCAGTGATTAGAAATGAGAGAACTCTTAGGCTAAGGTTAAGAAGTCAACCTTAATACTAGGCCTCATGATCAGAAATGACCAAAAAAAAAAAAAAAACCAGATTTGCCTTTGCCAGTACCTTCCTTCTGGTGTGTAAATGTTTTGAATTTCTTGTTAATTGCCACTAAAAATCCCAGAATGGGGAATTATCTCCCTGAAGCAGATTATTGGATGCCTTTCTGAAACCACACTTAATAGTCATGTGATAATCCACTTAAAGGGAAGGCTTCAGTGGTGAGCAATATAAAGGACACTTGTTACTTTTCTTCACGACTGTGAGTTGTTCAACTCTGAAACAGATGTGTACGTCGTACTTATCCAAAAGGGCCAGGGCAGGGCCATGATGGTGCAAGTCTTTAGTTCTAGCGCTTAAGAGGCAGAAGCAGGCAGCTCTCTGAGTTCCAGGACAGACAGGGCTACAGAGAAACCCTGTCTCAAAAAACAAACAAAACCACAAACCAAATTTAGTTTCCTCAAGTTGTAACATATCCTTGGAAGAGATTAGGCACTCAGGAATTTGTAAAAATCACTCTTCCCAAGGTAGGTCACATATCTCCAGTCATTTACAAGATGTCTCCACCAAAAGAATTCCATCGCACACTATCGTATCTTTCTGTTAGAACATGGGCATATACTTTTTAAACCCAGGTGCCATATCCTAAATCAGGCCATAACCCCTTACCATTCTTGCTAAAACAGGGTTTAAAAAACAATTTATGTTTTAGCACGGACACACACTCCTTTAACCCAGCACTCAGGAGGCAGAGGCAAATGGATCTCTCTAAGTACAAGGGCATCCTTGTCTACATAGTGAAGTTCAGGCTAACTAAGGCTACACGGTGAAACCCCAGCTCGGAAAGAAGGAAGACCCTGTGCTTGGCCGCTCTCCATTTGTGGTGCCTGGTTCATCCATGCTCTCTGCTATATTGCCGGAAACTTCTCGTCACCCATAAGAAGTTAATAAAATTCACATCTTTCCTTTGTTCAGTGCATTTCTCCAAGATTCCTCATGGGGGGGGGACTGCTTGGGAGATTGTGTTGGGAAAGAGTATTCTCAGAATCATACAAAGACACACACACAAAGCAAAGTAACCTGCCCAAGCAATTTCTTTTGGTAAAAAGCTATACCAAACTATGCAAGGAAGCATACTGGAACAGGAAGTTCCCTTAGTTTTCATTCTAGTACAAATCAGCAGAGGAGGAAAAGGCTTTACAGTCTAGAGGCTGGGAAAACAGGCATGCCACAAGGCGGGGGCTTCAAGACTGCTGACCATTGGTGAGCTTTTAACAATAGGGAAGAAAACACTTCCTGGAGCCGAAAAGATGGTTCTGGTGTTAAGAGCACCGTAGCTTTTGCAGAGGACCTGAATTTAGTTTCCAGCACCTAGGTCACAACAGCCTGTGGCTCCAGCTCCAGGAGATCCAGTACCCTCTTCTGGTGTCCATGGGCACCTCACACATATAGTATACACGCAGGCAGACTCATACACACAAAACTTTCAGAGTTAAAAAAAGGCTCCT